TGCCTAGATGTCTTCAAAGAGAAAGCCTGACACGTCAGAGCCTCGATCCAGATGGTGGGTCAGCATGTCTGACACCAGAAAGCAGAAGCAGGGAGGCAGAGAGGGCATCGTGGAAAGACATCGGAGCCCATGGTTCAGCAAGATGACTAAGCCTTGCCCTGGAGAGTCAACATTTCCTAGACTATTCTGACAGCAATCCATGAGTACTCACTAAGGGACAAGTTCAGGTTGATTTACTCAGCGTTGGTAAAACCTATAAACCCTTAGAATAAGTGATCTCAAATTCATTAAGCAATTTTTTTCAGTCATAAATCACTTCTATCTTTGGACCCCTAGGGGCTAATGAGCTCAAGTCAATGAGCCCCCGAGAGGGAGAAGGGTCTTGATGAGGGAGGGATGGGAGACATTTTCTGAAGGGAGTCTCCAGGAAGCTCCAGGCCTAAACACAAAAATGTCAATGGAAAGCTGATGCAACTGCATTCTTTCTCAATACACTGTTAGTTCTCACTGGATCCACCTGTCCCAGTAGAAAAGACAGGCTTCGCACATAGTATTTCTGCCATCATCTAACTGGGAGTAACACAGCAAGTTTGTTACAACAGGGATGGAAATATGTACTATTGTGGTGATTTGAAAGAAAATGGCCCCCAAAGGAAGAGGCACTATTATGAGTGTGGCCTTGTTGGAGTGGCTATGGCCTTATTGGAGGAAGTGAGTTACTGTGGGGGCATACCCGGAAGTTTCCTATGCTCAGACTACCATCCAGTGTCAGCCAACTTCCTGCTGTCTGAGTCACGATGTAGGACTCTCAGCTCCAGCACGTCTGCCTGTGTGCGCCAAGCTCCCCGCCGTGATGATAATGGACGGAACCTCTGAACTGTAAGCCAGCCCCCCTCAATTAAATATGTAAGAGTTGCCATGGTCATGATGTCTCTCAGGACAACTATGTAGTGAGCAGAGTCAGGGAAAGTGAAGATACCCTGCCTAAATGTCATACCAGGCACTCAGGGCAGTGAAGCTCCTGTGTCCAAAGACACTAGAGTGTGTAGATTCAGAGCCCACACCCTCACCTTTTTGCCAAGATGCCCGCTGAAGTTGTCAACCAGAAAGAGTAAAGGGGGGGCAGGCACAGGGCACAGCAAAGGGCTTGTGCGCAGGGAACACAAGGGCTCGGGACTCAAGCGCACCATTCAGTGTTGCCAAACTGCAGCAAGGGAGCGGTGTACAGCCGCCTCAGCGATGGTTCTCAGCCTGTGGGCCGTGACCCCTTTGGCGGTGACATATCAGATATCCTGCATATCAGATATTTACGATTCACAACAGCAGCAAAATTACAGCTATGCAATAGCAACAAAATGATTTTATGATGGGGGGTCACCACCATACGAGGGGGGTCACCACAACACCAGGGTCACGGGTAGAAGGTGGAGATTTCCATCCTTGTGCCCAGGTGCAGCAGCTGAAGGCTCACATGGCTTATGCCGTATGGACTGGCAAAGCAGGAGCAGCGGTGTCAGTGAGAATGGCCCCACAGGCCAGTACGTTGAACACTTAGTAACCGGGATGAAACTCTTGAGACTCAGGATCGCGGCCCTGTGGAAGGAGGAGCGTCACTGAGAGGGAGCCTGTGCCAGCCCAGTGATGTAAAGCGCTCAGCTGCGTTTGCAGTGCCATGTGCTGCCCACAGCCATGCTCCCCAGCGTAACCGTGGTGGACAACTCTCTGAACGTAAGCAAGCTCCCAACAAAATGCTTGCTTCTCTAAGAGCTGGCTCAGTCAAGGAGTCTTTCCACTGCAACAGAGCAGTAACTAGGACGAGGGGAAAACCCGACTGCTTTCCCACTTCAGTCACCTTGAATTACTAAGAACTTCTAGGTTTCTGTTTTCTGTTTCCCTAAATGCCCTTGCGCTGGGCAGGTAGGGCATGCTAGTCCCAGAATTCAAGGGCAGAGAGGTTGGAGGCCTGCAAAATGTTCAAGACCAGCTTGACTGCGCTGTGAGTGTCACATGCTCTTCAGGCATAAAGGGGACAAGTTTTTCAAAGTAAGTGAGTGTTTGTGAGTGCACACATGCGCATAAAGAATCAAAAATTGGCCGGGCGGTGGTGGCGCACGCCTTTAATCCCAGCACTCGGGAGGCAGAGGCAGGCGGATCTCTGTGAGTTCAAGGCCGGGCTGGACTGACAGCCTCCAAAACAATACAGAGAAACCCTGTCTCGTAAAACCAAAAAAAAAAAAAAAAAAAAAAAAAGAATCAAAAATTATTTGAATTGTGTAGAAGTGCCAAGTTATACCAGACACACTCATAAAGATATAAAAAAAGCATTAGGGCTGGGAGTGTAGCTAACTTGATCTACACGTACATGGCCCTGAAGGAACCAATGCCCAGCACCACAAAATAAAAATGAAAATTCTGCCAGGCAGTGGCAGTGCACACCTTTACCCAGCACTCAGGAGGCAGAGACAAGCGGATTTCTGTGAGTTTGAGGCAGCCTAGTCTACAGAGTGAGTTCCAGGACAGACTCCAAAGCTACAGAGAAGTGTCAAAAAAAAAAAAAACCCAAAAAGAAAATTCCTCAATACCTCCAGATTTTAGGATGTGTGAGTGTGAAGTCTACTGATTGAGGAAGATGTCTTTCTGCAAGCTACCTGTTGATGCCTGCAGCCCTGAACAAAAGCTACATGATCCAACAGGCGAGACAATAAACCTTACTCAACACAAGCCAGTGATACCAAGATTTTTAGCTTATTGTGGTATGAATTTGCTCTGAGATAGACCCTAAATCTGGGAGGAGCTACATACGTAGTTTCTAAGCTCAACAGCTTTCCCCAAAGTTAGCTCTCACTTCCCTTGTATACCATGCAAGTCCCTCCATGTCTCAGCCTTCAACACAGAAGGCCGCCTACGCCTACTTAATCGCACAACGAGCAACATTTAATCCTGCACAGACAAGAGTGACCACAATTGTACAAATTAATTCCTGTTGCTGTAGTACATGTTTTTTGTGTGTGTGTTTGAGATAGGGTTTCTCTAAATAACTGTCCTGGAACTCATTATGTAGACCAGGCTGACCTTGAACTCAAAGACGGCAGTGCCCTGGCCTCCTGAGTGCTAGGATTAAAGGCATGCACTACCACACTTGGCTGCTGTAACATAAAAGAAACTGAGCATCTGTGAAAATGTACATCACTGTCAGCAGGCACGTTTACCTCCACTTCTGGTCTGCTGGCATGGATTCTTCACCATTATCCAAAATAAGAGCATCCCAGCATGGTGTCACACAAGTAAATTACTGGGTTCACTGATCCCTGCCACAGAATCATTACAAAGTACTCATAGTCTTTAGAAACTGAATCTAATTGTAGCAAACCACCCATTATGGGGCAAGTCAAAAAGTAGATCCCTCCAAAGCACTGTATATTGTCTTCTTTTTCTATTCAGTGAGACATTAAAAAATAAACAGAAAAGTTTAATTATATAGCAAATACTTAGGTAAATCTTCAATTACAGTTTTGGGTAATCTATATACTGTGGGGGGTCAAAAGTAGCATTCTGTTAGTTTACACAGTAATGAAGGCCTGGTTCTGGTATGAAAAGCAGATTTCTTTTTCGGGGGGGGGGTTGGTTCAGACAGGGTTTCTCTGTGAAACAGTGCTGGCTATCCAAGAACTTACTTTATAAACCAGGCTGGTCTCAAATTCAGAGTCCGCCTGCCTCTGCCTCCCAAGTGCTGGGACTACAGGCGTGTGCACCATGGCCTGGTGCACAGGAGAGATTTTTTAACTGTACTTAAGGGTTAGTTCATTGGGGAGGAATATTATTTTCCTAGGTGGTATGCCTACAAAAAACTGCCTATGTTCCAGTAACTAGCAATCCATATTTGCTCACACAAGCAACCCCGAGTAAACGTGAAAATACGTGAAAATAAGAGAGAGGCTACTTGGGAAGAAAAAGAATTTCAGTAGAAGGGGATGAGAACTAAAATTCATTTAAAAAAAGCCTCATTTAAAAAAGCCTCTTATTAAATAAATTGATCTATTTCTCCACTTGACCAAAAAAAAAAAAAAAAAAAAAAGGAGAAAGAAAGAAAGAGAATAACCTCATTCTTCTAAAAGTCTTTGAAAACAGAATGAAACAGGTCAGTTAAACACCACGCAGAAAGTAAGCAAGTCTGCCTGGACACTGACAAAAACAATTTAGTAACAGAGGCAGTGTCTGGAGAACAAAGAATAGCCCCAACCCTGCTACCACACCACGCCTGCTGTCTGTCCCTGACTGAAGTGCAGAGCACATGGCAACAAATTTCAATCCATCCCACCCTCGCAGTGATGGCGCTCTAGCAGAAATACACCGGTAATAAAACAGTCCCGCAACTGTGCAGCTGGAAGAGCGTCTCAGTTAGGGTTCCGCTGCTGTGAAGAGACACTGGACCACAGCTACTCTTATGAAGAAAAGCATTTAACTGGGACCCATTTGGAGTTCAGGTTTGGTTCACTGCCATCGTGGTGGGAAGCATGGAGGCAGGCGGACACGGTACTGGGGAGGAGCTGAGAGCTCTCCATCAAGATCAGCAGACAGAGACACTGGGCCTGACGAGCATCTGAACCTCAAAGCCTATCCCCAGTGACACACCTCCTCCAACACGGCCTCTCCTGACACTGCCTCTCCCTAGGAGCCTATGGGGGCCATTTTCATTCAAAGTGCCAAAAGGAGGCTTAGCCCAATTAAAGCTGGTAGCACATAACCTGGTTGAATGACATATTTAATCAAAAAAGTGTTTTTAAGTATTTATTTTGTATGTGTGAGCATTTTGTCTGCATGTATGTGTATTTACTGTGTGCTTGCCCAGTGCCCACTGAGGTCAGAAGAGGGCATTAGACCCCCCGGAACTGGAGTTACAGATTGTTGTGAGTCACCATGTGGGTGCTGGGAATCAAACCAAGGTCCTCTGCAAGAGCAATAATTAACTTAACTACTGAGTCAACTCTCCAGTCCCCAAACACATTTAACTTTTTATTCAGCCTTGAGTTGGGTAAAAAGATGCCAGCTATGCACTCACATCTGACTAAAGCTGGCAGCACTAAGAGTCCATTTTCACACAATACACTATGTCAGCAATGCAAAACAACTTAGAAACGTGATTCCACTTTTTTTTTTTTGAGGTAGAATGAAACATCATTCCCTATAAAAACAGGAACTGAGGATGAAATCAATGATGAGAGTTGTCCTTGCAACAGAAAGTAGGCCTGGATCTGGGAATGAGAATCAAGTTCTTGATTGTTTTTTCTCTAGTAACCATTTCTCAACTAGCACTAAATATAACAGCAAGTTGGGTTGTTCTGAGTGGTTTTGAACTTGCAGTTGCTGGGATTATAGGCATGCTTCACCATGCCCAGCTAAAAACAGCAATTAAAAAACAAACAAAACGGTGATGTGCTGGCTAAAACGAAGTCTGACAGTACCTACGCTGTACACCCAACATAAATACCAGACTGCCCAGTGCTAGCTAAAGTGGGGGGGCACGTAGCAGCTGTGGGCAGGGCAAGGTGGACCTCTACCCCAGTTTTCCACAGCAGGCCTCTGAGGACAGGAGCTACAAGCACGAGGAGGAGGAGTGAGAGGGCAAACGGTGCTCCCAGTGGTGCCTTCCTCCAGGGCGGTCAGTCCAGCAGGCTCAGCTTCCACGGGCTTCTCTGGTCAATCCTTGGTGGAACGTAAACCCCGGCGTCTGAAAGCGAGAGGAGAAGGGAAGTGATAATGTGCCTGCTGCCCCACAGCCACAGGGTCAGAGCAGGCACAGCCTGGAGGCCAGCCCAGAGAAGGGGGAGGGCGTCAGGCTTCAAGCATCTTCATTAGGTGACTCAGAGCACAAGAAGAATCTGTATTTGAATAGGGAGGGGAAGGGGTAGATTCTTGTTTTTTAATTTTTAGATGTGTTTTATGTATGCGAATGTTTTAGAGAGTGTACTGAGTCCCAGGGGACTGTTCTGAAGCTAACCCCGATCCTCTGTAAGAACAAGTGCTCTTAATCCCCACACCGTCTCTCCAGTACTACAGTGTAGGTTTTAAAAAAATTGTCAAATTGTACATCTAAGATCTATATTTACTATGTGCAAACATTTTCTCAACTTTAAGAATAAAATAAACATGGCAGTATGTAACAAGTCAAGTGGATGACAGAAAGTGTAACAGAGTCTAAGAACAGGATAGCCAGCAAAACTGTTTTAAAAAGCAGGAAGTAGTTTCAGGTGGAAATCCTGTCTTTATAACCTCAAACTTAGGCATTTCTTCCTTCAGACTTTAGAAGTCTCTTATCTGACTAGGAATCATATATAGGAAGCTCAGCCACGACAAAAGTGTATATAAGGGGCCAGGTGGTGACGAACACCTTTAATCCCAGCGCGTGAGAGGTGGAGGCAGACGGATCTCTCTGAATTTGAGGCCAGCTTGTTTTGTGAGTTCCAGAACAACCAAAGTTACACAAAGAAACCTTGTCTCAAAAAACCAATAATTAAATACCACCCAACCTTGGAACCAGAGGACACTGACATGATAAACTCAGACAAGGAACCTCACATGTTAGACTTTACAGAAGGTAAAGCACAGGGTTCTCTGGTGCTGGCAAGCCATTAGAAAACTCAGGGCAAGGGGTGACTGGAGTGGCCCTGAAGGTCATCACCAGGCCAGCAACAAGAACGGGGTAGGGACTAGACAACAAACAGAAAAGCAAAATGGCGTCAGGTCTAAGATAAACTCTTTGTTTCACGGGACACGTGTTTATGTGAAACTGTTGGCAGAGGTGGCCTGCCAAATCCCAGGAGGAAGGGGACAGACACCACAGTTGTTGGGCAGACAAGAGACGCTGGGGAACAGGTAAGGCCTACTCCAAACGCCATCAAAATGCTAATACACCCAGCTTTTACATGAAAACATTGCAGACCATTGCCTGGCACGCTACGAAGAGCAAGTAACAGGAGCTTTAAAAGGCAGGTATCTTAGAACGTATCACCGGCTTTCCAGAGCCCAGGGAGGCTGGTGTGGAGCCACCAGAAGCACAAATACTTAGGTGCTGAACACATGCCAGTGAACTTAAAGACGAAGCCTGGATGCTTTCAAGCTTTTAGGAATATGTCATGTAACTGAAAACCATTTCGCACAACAAACAAAATGTTTTAGGTTGAATTAAACAAGAGATGTAAAGAAATATTCAGATGTGCCTTCAAATCCTAACTTCAGTTTCATCTCCTAAAAATGTTCTGAAGATGGGAAGGGTAATTGCAAGAGTTAAAATCCCAACTCGGAAGTCTCCACGTGTGTAGGTGGATTCCAGGGCTCCCGCTGCGACTGTGCTGTGCATATGTGCGTGGACACACCGGCATGCAACTGCACTGCATTTTTTTTTAAAAGCAAAGATGGAGTTGGTCAAGAAAAGGTTTTAATTCAAACTGAAACATAGGCATTTTGAGAGGGGAAGAGATGATAGAGATAGAAGGTAATTCATACCCTAGACTGGGCACAGACTTCTCAAGAGTTAATTTAAAAATAAATAAAAAATATCATGTGTTGGAAGTCGTGGTCTACATTTTTAATCCCAGCACTCAGGAAACAGGTGGATCTCTGTGAGTTCAAGGCCAGCCTGGTCTACAGAGTGAGTTCCAGGCTAGCCAGAAATACACAGTGAGTACCTGTCTCCAAAAATACAAACAAACGTAAATCACGTTCTATCCTTCCCTCCAAGCACTGGAGCCATGTGAAATGTGGCCTCAGGATTGAGAGGGACCCTTACACGCTGAGCTGTCCAACACCCCCACCCGGCCCTGTGCATCGTGGACACTGGAGAGAAGAGGCACTAACCGACAGCGGGGGCAGGAGGCGGCGGCGGCTGCTGGTAAGAGGAGGTGATGCTGTTCACGGTGGAATTCGGACCGAGGATCTAAGCGGAAAACAGTTACGTCAGCAGAGATCGCCTCTAGACGGTGGCAGACAGACCGTGTCCATGAGCCACTCACTGTCCTTCTCAGTACCATGCTGACAGACGGGACAGCTGTCCTTTCCCGTGTGACTGCAAATGGACGCTCCTCTATTCTCACCCCAGACCTCTCGTCTCCCAGGAGCACGAAACGGGGGGGGGGCTCTGCAACAACACCCAACTGGCGTTTTCCAAATGAGCGACCCTAACCCATGGGGGGGGGGGATCCAAGTCTATAGAACACACAAAGGATCCACTCTACTCAGAGAACTGGAGAAACAGTAATTTTTATATTAAAAGAAATACATGTCATAGTGTGGCTACAACACCAACTCTATCTAGCTGCAGTGACTCGCTGGGAGATACCAGGCCCTGGTTTGCTCTCATTTATCTTTGCATGTGTCCCTGCCAGAACACTGTCAGGAGTAATACCATGAGCTCAAAAACACAGGTGACTCATGGTGCCCTGAACATGGCCCATTTCCATACTGCCAAACAAAACAAATCTGCGTATTTTCCCTACAAGATTCACACAGTTGGTACCCTAGAAGCTAATGTGATCTAAACACAAGTGGAGAGGCATTCTTAATTGTTGACTTCCAAACACTTCAGTTTTGAAGATAACTGTATTTCTAGGTTACATGCATTATAGTGAATTCAGGCATTTGTGGCATCCAGATTTTTAGCTGCTTTTCTTCCAGTGGTCTTTACAAATATCTACCCTCTTACTGGACCTTCTGAACATTCTGGAAAGACACCCAGGGAAATATCCCCAGTATCCTAGGAAATCGAGACCCAGAACCCAACACATTTCTAGTCAGCGAAATGATTGCAACCTCCTGTGGCTAGGCACCAAGTTCACCCTTCTATCCATGGCCACTGAAGCAGAAAAGCCCATTCTCTTCCTTAGCTGATGCCCTGCTATGCTGCACCAGAAAGGGAGACTTGAGGGAGAGTGCAAAGCTGGAAGGAAAAACACTGTGTTTGCTTTTAAGGGCTATGCACCCTAGTTTCTATTTAGAACTAGCCTCATCAGGACCACCACCCTCAGCTCTCAGGGCTCCAGAGGTTGCAGACTGTGGGCCTCTGACCTTTCACCATCCCCAAGCTCTTTCCTTTCCTCCCTCTGCAGTGGCAGGAGCTACCTCTCTAGTCACTCTGCTTCTCCCTCAGCCTCCTGTGTTCCTCTTTTCCTTAATCAACCAGGAATTAAACTCTCCATGGGGAAATAACCGGCGTGGATTCTGTTTCCCTTACTGAACTGACTGTGCACCGGTCTTTCTAATCCCTTTCAAAGCTCTCCCCAGTAGACTTGAGGGCCCTAAAAGCCACATGGATGGTAATAAAAGAGCATGCTTCATGGGACACAAAGCTCTCCTACTCCCTCATGACTTCAGATCTGGGAAGGGAGATGTCAGCTCTAACCCTAGCTTCCCCTCCCTACTCCCTATTGCACTGTCAGTGAAGATTTGCAAGTCATCCATCCCTATGACAGCTGCTCTATCTGAAAAGGAAAAACAGTAACCTACTTCACCTCAGCACGAAACAGGCAAGTAGACTAAGACTAAGTAAGCACAAAGCTCAGGTAATTTAACTCTGACACTTGAAAGTTTTCCTTGACTCTTGACTCTTGGGGAGACTGCACATGGTGTCTGAGGTAACTTACAGATGGGACTGAACCCTGCTGGCCAGCAAGAGTCCAGATTTCTGGGACGGCCCTCTCCATCAGCTTCAGAGTGTTCTCAAAGGTCGCCTGTAACTCCTTCCCTTGCTCTTCAAATGCGAAGAGAAAGAGCACCTTTAAGATGGCCTGCACTTCATCTGGAGAGAAGAGACATCAAAGGGCTGAGTTGTATTCCCAGCTTCACTGCTAGACGCATACAGTAACTTCTTCCAAGGTGACAGAGTGTCTAAAACCACCCCAGAGAGGCACTCTTCCACGCCTTCTTCCCAAATGCTGGGAAGAGAAGCTCCGTGGGTGAGCAGACAGCTGTGCCGTGTGGTGTCTGTCCCTGACTGAAGACCACGACCTCACAGGGAGCTTCTCCTGTAGGGGCTGGGAAGGGCTGACTCAGTATGCATGGACATGAGTTTCACACTGACTGCTTTCTTCTTCCCTCTAACTCAGTGGTTCTACCCTTCCTAATGCTACGGCCCTTTAATACAGTCCTCATGTTACAGTGATCCCAACCATGAAATTATTTTTATTACTACTTCATAACTGTAATTTTGCTACTTGTTATGCAGTGTAAGTATCAGATACACTGGATATTTGATATGCAACCCCCGTGAATTGGTTGTCTGAACAAGCCCCCATCAAGTGGTCAAGGCCCACGGGTTATAGAAATGCTGCTCTAACTGGAAACAGCATCATTGTTGGGTTTTTGTATGTGTGTTTTTGTTTTTAAACAATCTGTCTCAGTGGAGATCAGAGGGCAGCTCTGAAGGAGGTGGTCCTTTCCTTCTGTGACGTGGGTCACAGGGATGGACATCAGACGGTCAAGCTCGGTGGCAGGCACTTTACCCTCTGAGCCATCTCTACAGCCCCATACCGCATGCTAACTGTGCACGAAGCGTGCCTGTGTGGTACCGCTTGCTCCTGTCTGTGGTTAAGAGCCAGGGTGAGCACCGAGACCATACCTTTCAACTTGTCAATGCTTTGCACCACCTCACTCAGCGCCTCCAAAAGGGCCAGGTGCTCCAGGGGGCTCCCTTCTTTGAGGCTGTGCCTCTTGCGCTCCGCCTTGCGCCGGTTTTTAGACGACCTCCTGTCAGGAATGAGAGATGCTGAAAAGGAGACTCCTCCTGTGCCTGCTGGCCACCAGAGCGTCTTAGAAACCAGAGCGTCTACAGACAGCGTTTGTCTGGGGAGAGCTTAGTGAAGCCACGTTAAAGCCACACAGAACTAGTGGGGTCTAGGGAGAGGCAAACTAGTGGGGTCTAGGGAGAGGCAAAGAAGGAAAGCTAAAGAGTTCTGTTTCTCCCTTCACTTGGTTAAAATGCAGGGTAAGATCGGGGGTGATTGATGGCTCATGCCTTTAGTTCCAGCACTCAAGAGTCAAGGCAGGAGGATATCTGTGAGTTAGAGGCCAGTCTGATCTATACAGCAAGTACCAGGCCTGCAGGGCTACATAGTGAGTCAGTCTTAAAAAACAAAGAGCAAAGTAAAATGAGGTTCACCCGATAGCACATTGGAGCAACGAAGAGGAAAAAAAAAAAACCATGAATTCTACAGTAACAAGTGAGCTTTAGAAGCAGCCTCATCTCATGGGGCTGGTGAGGTGAATCAGAGGTTAAGAGCACTGGCTGCTCTCCCAGAGGCCCTGAGTTCAGTCCCCAGCACCCCATGGTGGCTCACAGTGACCTATAATGAATCTGGTGACCTCTTCTGGTCTGCAGGCAGACATGCGGGAACACTCTACATTCCCCCACTCCCCCTGCATTGTCTGTCCTTGGAGGAGACCAGTCTATCACTGCTTCTGCACAGTCAACGTGCTGACTAGATCTCATACATACGCAGTTATCCTGGAGCTGCTGTGGGAGTGTCTGCTGCTCAACTCACTGCCGCTCTCTGAGAAGAGGTCTGACTCTGGACCACGGACCACCTCGCTGTCTAGAGAAGACGAACCGAATGCAAACATAATGACTATACACCCAGTCAGTACATGGGTGGATCTCAAGATGAATAAGGTAACATTAAACACAGTAATTACATATAAACCCGTAGTTTTCCACATTTATTCTTTTCCTTTCTGGGGGTTGGGGGTGGAGGAGAGGAAACTCATCTGTGAAACCCTGAAGACATCACTGCCCTGGCCGGACGGGGAAGGGTGGGACTACGTGGTAGGGATTATCTCACTGCTGCCTGGTCCTGGCCGTAAGCAACAGAACTTCTCCAATATGGAGTCCCAGGTGGCTACAACACAGCAATAAATAACACCAGAAACAGTCCATCCCTACTCAGCAACTTGTGTTTAACCCTCAATGGGACAGTGAGGAAAGCAAGGGGTCAACGGTGGCCTCACAGCATGAGCCCTGCTTCTGTGGGACTGCGCAGTGAGCCTGGAGTCACCTCATTTCCTTACACATGCCCCCCCCCACTACTGTCAACCCGGTTTTCTGTCACAATACTTCCCCAAGTGTCACGTACATGCTGGCACCAAAATGTTGTACCTCCAAAGTCAGGTGCCCAAACAACCCCTGCCCAGGAAACTGACCACAGACGAGGTGCATGATGCCCACCCCCACCCCCCACAAGCATCAACGGGCTTCTTGGAGGCACTCACCCACATGTATCTGTGGTGCTCGGTTCCTGAGCTCTCGAACCACCAGCAAACGGTTTTTATGGCGAATGAATGTGGCCGTCTGCGAGTCCAGAAAGGCCATGTAATTTTTTTGGGCTGAGGATGCAGAATGAAAAAGTACCTAAGCATGATTTTTAAGCAAAGAGATAAAACTTAAGTGAAGGGGGGGGGCGTGATAAAGAAGTCTTAAAATTACAGCAACAAAAGAAAGATGTATCTAGGTCTACCAACCAAAATTGTTTTATTCCGTTAGTGAGCTGGAGATGCCAGTTCTCAGAGTTCACCAATACTGTTAGGAGCACAAAATGTCTTCCACCTACAGACCTCCAGGGAAACCAGGATGTGAAGCACGCAGGATTGTCTTTGCAAGAGAAAAGACATAAACCCTCTTCTTCCATCCAGAAAGCTTCCACAGCCAGAGCCAGAGGTGGCTAGTAATCTAAATGACCTTACATTATCTGTACAGCCAGAGGATCTCCCAAGCTCCCTCAACCAGGACTAGAGGTGGCCAACAGTCCAAATGACCTCTATGCTATCTGAATGACCAAGACCAGACCAGAGCCTTCCCTGGGCCCTTAAGCTACTAATACAGGTGGCCTATCTCCAGAACCCATCTTCTTAGAAGAAATGACATATACCCTGGGTAGAATTTTGATGCAGTTATGCTTGCTTGGTCACTGGGAACTGTATACCAGGAAACTTTCCCCTAAATTACACTGTTTCAATATACTGGCAATAAACTTCCTGGCATCCAACTCTGCAATCAATCTGAACTGAGTTTTCATTCTCACCTCTTTGAGGATCACTGCCTTGACACCTGCAGAGCCCACCACACAATACCATCCCAGAAGATTCTCAACGAAAAACTTAACAAAATCAGTGAAGACTTGATACCTAACCCGAAAAGGAAAAAGCAAACAAAGGGACTATGGGGGAGCTGCTAGCAAAGGCAGAACGGAAGGCATCTGAATGCTTCCGGGACACGGGACACGGGACACCCATGGAAACGGCCGTGGGCATGCAGTAAGGGCTTCTAATGATCTCTGAGATTACTGTCCAGGGGAAAAACAGTACTAGCAGAGTAAAAGAAAATATAAATACATTGACCTCTCTAAGGGTGTGGAAATCAGGCTCATGCAGAAGAATTATCAGCATCCCCAAGTCCCTGATGGTGGTAAGAATTGCCCAGACTATGGCACAGTCAGGGAGGGTGCTTTCTATGCTGTGTTTGGGATGACTACAGCAAACACTACAAAGGTACCCACAAGCTCTAATTAGAACAGGACAGAGAAACACAAGGTAAGAATGTGAGTGCACACTAACATTCCTCACGAGGCAGCCCTGCTTAATACTGCAACACAGCCAACACATACTCCCTAAGACTTTGCTCTTCAGGGGTCCCAGACCGGAACATTCTGCAGCTACTATTTAATTCTCCTGTTCTCTACAGCCATACACTGTATTTGCAAAAAATATGTTTAGCTTATCTTTAAAATATTCAAGCCTCGTGAACTGGAGATGCCTGATTCTATTTTTTAATATTTATTTATTTATTTATTCATTCATTTATTTATTATGCCTATATGCCAGAGAAGGCACCAGATCTCATTTTGGATGGTTGTGAGCCACCATGTGGTTGCTGGGAATTGAACTCAGGACCTGTGGAAGAGCAGCCAGTGCTCTTAACCTCTGAGTGTGAAAATGTAATTTTATTGGCACAATTGTACCTCATCTCATCTGTATATTTATGTACAAAGTAAGTATCTGTTATAACTCAAAAAAAAAATTTAAGCCTCCTTGAGAGTTGTACTAGTTCAAAGATCATACCGTCCTTTATCTAGATTTACCCATAAATAACAGTTTACCCTTTTTGTTGCTCCCCATTTCTCTGTAAACATGTATATGATTGTGCACACATGATACCCTGCAACTTCTGTAGAATCTGAAATTAAATTGCACATAGGCACTTATCTCTTAATAATAAACATTAATACAGGGCTAAAATACAGGAAAGTTACCACTGATAAAATACTACTAGACAATAGACTACATATCCAAGTTCATTAGCTCTTACAAGCATGAAGACTCCCCAGGGTCACCACCGCCACCTTGCAACCCACCTCAGTGCCAACAGCCTCCAGGTAGAGGCAGGCAACCAGGGCCAGAGTTTGCTCTAGCAAGGGACACTAAGACACCCCAGCTTTCAACACTTCAATCTCTCCAATGTCATCCTTTAACAGCTTAATATATTCTTAAAAACCATGATGAAGTCAGCAGAACATATCAAAATGCAGCATAAAGAGTTCTGCCCTGTTTATGTCTTCTCCCTTTCTCCATAATTCTTTTTTTTTAAAGATTTATTTTATTTATTACATATTCAGTGTTCTGCCTGTGTATCAGAAGAGGGCACCAGATCTCATTACAGATGGTTGTGAGCCACCATGTGGTTGCTGGGAATTGAACTCAGGACCTTTGGAAGAGCAGCCAGTGCTCTTAACCTCTGAGCCATCTCTCCAGCCCCTCTCCATAATTCTTAAAGGGTCACCACCTAGATGCAATCCTCACCTTCTAAAATGGAAGGTTTCACACTGGTTTCTATAATATCCAATCTGTTATACTTGTATACCTAAGAGAGAAAAAAAATGCAGTATTTTAGGGCAGGAATACTTTTACTCAATAGTGTTAAGCAGAGACCACTGCTAGAGGGGATCAGGACATTTTCCCAAAAAGCAGGTTTCCTAAAGGTTGCCACAGATTCAATTCATTTTAACAACAGCAGTACATTGCATATGAAGGCCCAACTTCAAACACTACCAAGGATAGGTTTTTATTATTATTATTATTTTGCTTTTTCATGACAGGGTTTCTCTGTGTAGCCCCACTGTCCTGGAACTTGCTCTGTGGACCTGGCTGGCATCAAACTCCAGGTGCTGGGATCAGAGGCGTGTGCCACCAACGCCCAGCTGAGAATAGGTTTTTAAATGGCTTTATAGAAACCACTTATCTGCAGGACTGGGAACCTGAGCCTGTCTATACACCCTCACTTACTCAGAAGACAAGACTCCAGCTGACCTGCTGCCTCCCTCTCCCTCGGCACCCCACAGCAGAGCTGTCCAGAGCTTCTCTTACCAGCCTCAGAGCTTCCTCCCAGGCAGCCCCTTCCAGCAGCTGTACCACAGCCTCTTCATGATCCTGCGAGGGAAAGGGAGGACATCACAGGTGAACGCAGCAGCCTCAAAAGAAGCTGCCACACGACCCCCTGAATGGGGGTTTCAGTGAGGAGGGCCTACGTAATCTATTGAGCCTTGGGCAGTAGATCAGTATTCATCCCGGGCATACACACGGACTTTGGACTCCCATCCAACAATGTGAGATGCACTCTCACCCTGAACTCTTGGGGGAGGGTCTAGGCCCTGTCCTGGATGAAATGACAGACTGTGGACACCCCCATGGAAGGCCTCACCCTCCCTGGGGAAATGAGGGGATATTGGGGGGATTGGGGGAAGGGCATGGGAGGAGGGGAGGGAAAGGGAGAGGGACCTGGAACTGACTTGTGAAGCAACCTTGTTTCTAATCTAAATTTAAACGTAAAAATAAATAAATAAATAAAAAAAAAAAAAATAATAATAATAATAATAAAAGAAGCTGCCACACACAGCTCCTCCACCTTCCCAGGCAGCCTCAGCCCTCCAGCTCCAGTGCTTGGCATCTTGCCTATTCGAATACCTACTGGGTAGTAATCTCCAAAAACACTGGCATAAAAGACAAATGGTTAGTCTTCTGAATGATGACCAAATACAAGGCAAGCACATTCTCTTTATACCCGGGGATATCAAAGCCACAAGACAAGCCTGCCAGAAATGGCTCTTTCCCCAGAATTACTGCAAAGCCTACCTGGAAACAAGGCTATACCCTGAAAAATATAGCGAAATAAACAGTAATTTCCTAGTTGGCTTGTTTCTTTCTTGTTGAATAACAGGTCTTCATATATTCTAAGACAATAAATTATTATCAAATAAATGCTTTGAAAATATTTTCTTTCACTCTCTTAGCTGTCTCTGTACATTCTTGATAAGTCTTCATTTATATGAAGTCCAATTTATAGATTTCAATTTTAATTGATGGTCTTTTGGTATCAGATCTAAGAATACACTGCCAAGGTATTGATAAGGTTATCCCGTCTTCCCCTAAGGCTTTTATGGTTTCAGCTCTTAAGATTAGGTTGTTGAGGGGGGCAAAAGGAGGGGTGGGAGTGAGAACTGTGGCTGGAATGTAAAATGAAATTTAAAAGAAGAAATAAATTGTTAAAAAAAGAGATTAGGTTGCTGATATATTTGAGTGTTTCAAGGGTTTTTGTTGTTATTCTTTTTTTTTTTTTGTTATGTCTTACTATTCATCTTTACCTCTACCTGTATGTATGTCTGTGCACCATGTGCGCCCTGGAACTGGAGGTCCAGACGGCTGTTAACTCCACAGGGTGAGCGTCTCTCCAGCGGCCACCCCATACCAAGTAATCCCTTACAGTGTCTACTGAAATACAAGTTGCCATCTTTAATCTTAACGGACCCTGAAATGCCGCTAACAGCACAATTATGTCACAAAAATGTCTATCAACGTGGTAGACAACCTTGATTACCAGCTTGACTGAATCTGGGCTCAACTAAGGGCTAAGCTGCTGGCAGCTGTGAAATTTTCTTGATCAGCTCATCTAAAGGAGGAAGACTAACCCTAAACGTGGGTGGCACCTTCGGGTGGCAGCCCAGACTAAAGAATGAAGGAGGGAAAGCACTGTTTAGTCTGAGGGTCTTCGTGTTCCGCTGGCGAGTTCGTCCACCCTGCTGCTACTGCTATGTCCTTCACCGCTATCAGAACCCAGACCTTGGCTTCCAGCGTGAACGAAAGACCAGCAGCGCTTCAGGAAGCCTTCAGGGCACCCTGCCCATGGACTGGGCAGCTCGTGGTTCTCAGCTTCTCCAGTATGAAGACAGTCGCTGTTGACTACTCAGATCATACTGAGGAAGGTCACCTAGTATCCCCTCCTTTAAATACATATTTGTTTGTCTCTCTAAAAAGTCCTAATATAGCCAGAAATAAGTGTAAAACTTTCACAAGCCAGGTGTGGTGGCTTATGCTTGTAATCCCAGCACTTTGGAGTTAAGAGGCAGGAGAATCTGGAGTTCAAGGTCAGTATAGGCTATGCTGAAACCCTGTTTCAAAAGGACAAAACGGTGATGATGGTGGTGGTGGTGGTGCCACTCTCCTCATAAGCCTGGCAACCTCCCTTTGTTCCCTAGGACTCGCGGTAGAGAGAAAAGCACCCTGAAAGCTGCCCTCTACCAGATAAACACAAGTGTACATGCATGTGTGCTTGTATGCACACACATGTAAAACAAACAAAACAAGAAAAGCTTTCTCTCACAAAAGACACAGCTGTGCACAGCAGCAATCCTTGTATGCACACACATGTAAAACAAACAAAACAAGAAAAGCTTTCTCTCACAAAAGACACAGCTGTGCACAGCAGCAATCCTTGTATGCACACACATGTAAAACAAACAGAACAAGAAAAGCTTTCTCTTACAAAAGACACAGCTGGGCACAGCAGCAATCCTTGGTGTCTACTACATGCCTGTGTCCTAGCAGCCTGCGGCCAGTGGCAGCACAGCACGGCTTTGGTACTCTGATATGCTACAACCCCACTTAGCCACCCGGACTCTGCCACCACACCGGGAACCCAGGAGCCGCCTTGGTTAAAAAGAAACGTTTTTAAGAGACGGAAGGGAATAAAGCCCATGAGTGGCCACCGCTTAGTGGCCTGCCTTCTAATGGTGCTCGCCCACTGCTTCTGCTTTGACAAAGTTATCACAGGAGCGGAGTCTGCGTTCCCGTCAGGTCACAGGCACACACTAACTACAGCAGAGCTTCTAGTACTCTACCCACAGTCGACAATTACAAGCCGAGAATGTGCACCAGAAGTGCATAGGAACAAGGACTTGGAGCTTTTCTTTAGGGATTAGGGTATTTGCACACACACACTGCAGTATCCTGGGGGACAGAAAGTCAGTCTAAGTAAGACAGTCATGTGCGGTCTTTACACACTACCCACATCCAAAACGATCCTGCACTTGAACACGCCCTGTCTCATGTGGACAGGAATAAGATTATCACCTCTGTGGCATCCCTATCAATTCTCAAAACCACAGCTCTGGAGGCTTTTCAGATTTGATGCAGGATGAGCAGTCTGTACATACAGACACACCATGTCACATCAGCAAATGGAAGACCCTTAGAACCAACGCCGCCTCAAGACCTGACCATTACCATGGTTCCTTCAGTTTCACCATCAGTAGGCAGAGGCACGTTCTTTCTTGTTGAAGTGGGGTGTCAGGGGAGGGCTCACCTGGGCATACTGCTCCAGGACTGTGGCTGCCTCACTGTGCTTCCTCTGCTCAACCAGCTTTCCTGCAAAGATAACAACAAGCGCTTGACGGCAAACGGAAACCGGCTTTCACTTCTGCCCTATGACTCCCAGACTGCAAGCTTCTGAGTGTCTGTGAGCACAACAGGTGCACCACACAGCACAAAACACACACACAGGCTTGCTGTGTGTCTCAGGAGGACAGCCTGAAGCTGAAATCCCCTGCTGTGGCCTCCTGGGATTACAGAGGTGCGCTACCCTACCTAGTAAAGAAATCTCAATTAATCACAGGATTTTAAAAAATCACAAATAGCCAAAATTAGTTTTTAAAACAAAATGCTTCCAAAGGCATGCATAAGGACAATTATAGGTAACCCATTTCTTCCTCTGGCAGAAAAGAAGCTATAATTCTCTGTGTGGGCACTAGGTGGAGGTAGCTGGTTATGTTGGCAGCCATGCAGCCCTTAGCTCCAACAATCACACCAGCTAGAAAAATCAGATTACAACAGGCCCAAAAAATCCTAAAAGGCTGTTCCATCCTATTCCACTCCAGGACAATTACTAATGAAAAATGGTCACATAGGCACCTCCACTAGTGAAGCCTTTACTTTTCTTCGCCTTTGCTGCTTATGTAAACTGCCTAAAGTAAACGTGTATACAAAGTAACTGCTGTATGTGGTGGTTTGAACAAGGCCCCCCCATAGGCTACTTTAGTTGAACGTGTGGGGAGTGGTACTATTAGGAGGTGTGGCCTTGTTGGGGTAGGTGTGGCCTTGAAGGAGGAAGTGTGTCACGGGAGTAGAAAAGGCCTTGGGGTCTCAAATCTCAAGCCTGTCCCAGTGTCCTCTGCCTGTGGATATGAACGTGGAACTCTCAGCTCCCATCTCTACCTGCACACAGCACGCTCCCTGCCATGAGGGCAATGGACTGAGCCTCTGAACTGAAATCCAGTCAGAATGCTTCCTTTGTAAGAGTGGCTGTGGACATGGTGTCTCTTCACAGCAACAGAACAGTGACTGAGACTATGCAACAAGGCCTCTTAAAAAGCTCATGCACTCTACAGCTTTTGCCAGGAACATCTGCAACAATTATGTATGCTCCACCTCGAGACACGTGAGCGGGAAGTTACGCTACAAGGACACACGCACACTACATATGAGTTTCTGAACTGCTCTTTTTTTGAGAACACTGAAAATGTATACAGGACTCTGTTAAAGAATACTCGGGTTTGAGTTCTCCCTCCCCCCTAAAGCTCACACTGGAGAACAGAAAGAAGAGAAAGAAATACAAGCAAGCATTTCTTCATCTCAAACGCTGCTGAGCCAGAGCCCACTGGCTTCTCCCGGGGCACTTGGCCGCGGTTACTCTCAGAAGTCACAAGTACTAGCCTCGCCCTCATCTGGAAATTCCTCAACTCCGGCACTCAGCTGCCTCTACTTTCTGTCTGTGCATCTGGTCTGGTCCACACCAGTCCTGGCAACTATTATGGCTTCCATTCATATATTGGCTACACCAGGATAGCCCCACCCAAAACATGTTTACCTTCTTGAAAGGACAACTTGGCTACACCGTCAGGACTGGCACGATGTCTAAGGGCCAGTGAGTGATACGGGGTAGGAAACACATGCTTTTTTTAACATGCCAATGCATTTGGAGGTGCTTGTGGGACTGATGTTCTATTTAAAAGGAATGTGGCCCTAAGCTTACTTACAAAATTACCAAGCAAAGCAATAAGCAAACCTTTCCAAGATGAACACAATGGCTGAGCTTACCTGCCAGAGTTCTAGCAAGGCCAGCTATCTTGTCTTTGGTCAGATGAAGCTGGGCAGCCACACAGAGAGCTTGCTGCCAACTGCCGCAAGCCACAAACGCTGAGAGAGCCCTCTCGCGGGCCCCACATCGGGCAAACACAAGCCCCGCTGGCTCGTACAGGCGCTCCCGCATCAGGTGTTCTCCATAAGCAATACTGACTATCTGTGAGAGACGCAGAGGTGAAGAAGAACTGTGACAGCCGTTTCTTTATGGCAGTCCCAATGTAGGCTACCTCAGCTGGCACGCTCCAGCTGCTTCCTTTTTCCACTCAAAACCTTACCGAAGACACAGTGTTGATTCATTCCACATACACTGGTGCCTACATATGCAGATTCTAGGTGGCAGGAGTGACAGTGACTCACACACGCACACATTATTAATAAACAACTAACTAGATAAGTATTAAAAAAGAAAACCCCAGCACATTTAAGCTTTTGTCCGTATGGCCACAGAAAATGGTCTTAACTAACGCAGCGTGGCCTATAACAAAGGTAGAGGAAGAGAAAGTGAGTGGGGATGATAGGCAGGCCACCCCTGAAGACTAAAGGAATGAAGCTATGTGAAGAGTCAGGAGAGGCTATGTGGCAAGGATGCGCACAGCAGACTGAGGAGTGACGAGGTTAACTCTGGAGCTGGAGGAAGAGGAGAAAACCCGAGTTACCAGGCAGCCATACAATAAACGCTGTATTGCCAAGGCTTAGGGTGAATGCAGCAGAGATACAGGGTACAACACAGTCCCTGTCCTGGCAGCAAATCATCAGTTCTTTTGGCCCCAGTCTAAGATGAACTGGGGAGACTTGGAAGTCTGTGGACAGGTAGACACAAGAAAGGACACACTGGGGGCTGGCTGGGAACAAGCTACAGCTAATTGAAAATACAAAGAATGCCAGGGAGTGGTGCTACAGAGTTCGGCATGTGTGGCTAGAGAGACCTCAGACATTAAGAGAATTCGCTGCTCTTGCAGAGAACCTGGGTTAAGAGAACTCGCTGCTCTTGCAGAGAGCCTGGGTTTGGTTCCTAACACCATTCTCAGGTACCTGTAACTCTGCCTGTAGCTCACTTTCAAGGGAGCCAACACTCCTGTGGCCTCCGTGGACACCTGCGTGAGCCTGGTGTGTACCCAGAAAAGCAGGCACACACATACACTAAGTAAGACGAATACGGCAGCACTAAAACAGCTGCGCTCATCTCAGAGACGGTGGGGGCCAGTCCCAGGAGCCTCCCGGAGGAGCTGCCTCCACCCGAGTGCCCGGGCTGTGTCTGCAGGGTTTCTCTTGCTCTAACAGATGGAGAAGCAACCATCTCACTCTGAGCAGTGACATCCCTGGGCATGTCAGCATGGGCTGTGTAAGCAGACCAGTGAGCTGCACCCTCCATGGCCTCTGCTTCCGCTCCTGCCTCCGGTCCCTCCCTGTCTTCCTCAGGCTGCTTCTGGCCGCATGGCAGCGTGGGACAGTGAGGAAGGGAGGGTCCTTGGCAGCCACAAAGCCTCGTCTCACACCCCGGGTGTGCCGCTCTGCACTCTGACTCTCGTGTAAACTGGGCACAACACCCCACCAGATTAACAAGGACAACATAATACATTTAACTTAGAAGCAAGGCGCCTGGAACTTGAGAAAACCTAAACAGATGTTTATAGAAACAACCAAATCCCAAAGTCCTGCAAGACTTTTGCCTTTGTGATGTCCCCTAACAAGAAGAGACTGACTGGCTGTAGGACAAACCCTGAAGCCAAGGACAGTGTCTGGACTCAACACACCCTCACTTTCCAACTAATTCCCAAAGCAGAGTCAGGGTTTCACGTTTCAGCCACCACATACCCGGTACTGCTGTGAGCTGGGTTGATACAACTTCAGAGCTTCTTTATACAAGTTTTTATCCTTTATAAAGTGTAGGCACTCTGCGAAATGCTCAGGTCCTGCAAAAATATGATTTACACAAACACAGGCATAAGTATAACGGCTTTCACTGACGCTTAATGTGGAACTTTTTGTACGTGTGTCCCTGTGTGCGCGTGCACGCGGAGGCCACAGGACAACCCGAGGTGGAGTTCGTATCTTCAGCTGATACTCCTCAGGAGCACTGTCCACCTCGTTTTTTTGAAACGGGGTCTCTCACTGTCCAGAGCTTGCCAGGTAGGCTAGGCTGGCTGGTCCATGAGGCTCAGGGGTTGTCCTGTCCACCTCCCGAGAGCTCGGAGTACAAGCAGGCCACTGAACCCAGCTTTCTCGTGTGGGTTTTATGGCGGAAGGCAGGCCTCCCTGCCTACAAAGCAGGCATTTCACTGACTTAGCTGCCACTTTGGCCTCCTCCCAACCACGAGCCTTCTACAGCTCTACAATTTAACCTGAAGAACGGGGGGGGATCGGGTTGGAGAGGTTACACGAGGCATTCCTGCTACACTCTCCTGCTCAGTACTTCCTCACTCCTGCACAGGAGCACTGGGAGCTGATGACACGCTCCCCTCAGGCCTCACTCTCCAGCGGGATCAGACGCTCCATGGAAGTAGGAGATGAGCATACACTTAACAAGCACCACACACAGGCACCCTCTGAGACTAGTCCCACGTGCTCCAGCCCAGGGCAGGCGTGGTGTGAAGGAGCCCACAGGTGTGGTTCTGCGGCATCACTGCCTGCTGACTGGGGAGTGCCAAGCACTGCCTGTAGGGAAGCAGGGGTCTGTTTCCCTCCCACATGGACAAACAATGAGATGGGATTATCTACTAGTTCTGACCGAGGCACTGAAACGAATTGCGGAGCTGTTCCATCCTACCCTAGAAAGAACCTGTTCTCACAGAGACCTGCTTCACCCTCAACCTTTCAGGGCACAAGACAAAAATAAGGGAACATGCAACAATCATGTTTTCCAGACTGGACACTGACGCCCATCTGTCTAGGATAACCTGGTATCGGATCTTATAGCTTGTCTAGTTCCAAAGGAGCCTTGAAGCAGCGATAAACACTATCCCCCATACTCACCACACTTGCTGAGGTGCCCAAGGGCCTTTTCATAGCGTTTCAAGTACTTGTCTATGGTGAACCGCTGGTAATTAGGCTCCATTTTCTTAAGTGTATTAAGAAATGGAAGATATTCCTTAGGGTCCTAACAAAAGAGTTATTCGCTGTGATATTAATATAATACAAATTCCAATTAAGACAATAAACGTGGAACAACATAATTTTAGATGTCATATAATACATCAAATCAATACAGTTTCGGGGAAAATGCTTTCATATTTGGGTGTTTTTAGTTTAAATTTGGAATAGTAATGGCTGTGATCTAGAAGACAGCCAACAATGAACTTAAGTACCCCAGAAAGAGGCAGGCTTGGCTCTCAGTGCCCTCCATGACACGGCACACAGGCAGCTAGGAAAAGTACACATGAAAACAAGGGCAAATGCACTGCGAGAACGGGGCTTAGGAACAGTAGCTGCGGCGCTGTGGATATTACTTTAAGATGTGTTACATTCATATATGCTGTGGAATGTTTGTTTAATGATGCAAACATGTGTTGCATTCTTTCATGTTGCATTTGTTTAATTCTGTAAAGCTGTGTTTCTTTGCCTAAAACACGTGACTGGTCTAATAAATAGCTGAACGGCCAACAGCAAGGCAGGAGAGAGAAATAGGCAGGGCTGGTGGGTAGAGAAAATAGAAGAAATCTAGGGAAGAGAGTGGGGAGTGAGAAAAGGAAGCGAGGACAGCAGGGGCCAGCCTCCCAGCCGCCCAGCCTCCCAGCCCCCCAGCCGCCCATGAAGTAAGAAGGAAAGAAAGATACATAGAATAAAGAAAAGGCCCAGGAGCAAACAGTAGTTAAAGAGAAACAGGATAATTTAAGTTAGAAAAGCTGACTAGAAACAAACCAAGGTAAGGTTGTGCATTCATAAGTAAGAATAAGTTTCTGAGTATATATTTGTTTGGGAGCTGGGTGTTGCCCTCCCCCCAAAGTGTAGTAAAAACCCAACTACGCTGTGGAGACTCAAATCTGTATCCATGTGTAGTATTAGATAAAGTACCACTCTCTTCTAAAGAACAGGGTCCCGTGTTAGTATGATTATATAAAGTTTCACAATGGTACAAAAAACATGAATACCACCTACCTTTTGTGACTTCTCAGCTACCATGAGGACTAAATCAAAGTCATAGGTCCCAAGAGAAAGATCATATAGTTCATTGACATCGACAAGGAGCAGCAGGTACTTCAGGGCCTCCTCTGCACTCACAGCGTCAGCACCAGAGGGAACATTTCCTGTTGGTGTTCAAGACAGAACGGGCCGGGGTGGAGCTCAGTCAGTCAAGAGCTGTGTAGCACACATGAAGCCGTGGGTTGATACCCATGCCATATAAAACCGGGAGTGTGGTATACTCCCGTAATTCCAGTACTCAGAAGGTGGAGGTACAAGGGTCAGAAACTCAAGGTCATCTGTAGCTATATAGTGATTTGAAGCCAGAGTGGGCTACATGAGACCTCGCCAATATGTGTTGAAAGACAAAAAGAACAGAACAGAGTCATTCCCGGGAAACTCCATGGACTCAGCAACCAAGCAGTAAGATTTTCTGACAGACTGGGACACTAGACAAAAAGATTCATTCATAAAATGCTTCTCACTCAAAAACCTTTACGTTTGAAAACAGTAAACAAAGAGCCACACGCTAATTCTGTGGCATGGCAACGACAGTAATGGTTATCTGCGGAACCCTGACAGTCAAGGCCAAAGCAAGCCAGTGTCTGCGCGCAGGTCTCTACCTGGAAGCTGGTGTACCTTCTGCAGCACAATCTCCAGTTCTGGGGTCGTTTTCTTCACATGAGACGTGAGTATTGACAGGCAGTACCTGAGGTGGTAAGTGAAACACCAGAATGACAGGAAGAATAATTGGACAAAGACATCTCCTCACCCTGTTGTTCCAAAGATGCCAACAATAAAATCGCACCCACTTGTGAGGATTGATGTTCTCCATGGCTATTCTCATAGAATCACATATATGATCAACTTTCCTCCTATCAGGATCCCTGGACACCTGGACACTCTTGGAAACCGGTGAAGGGTACATAGTCTTTGTGACATCTTCTTCCCTAAGAACCAGAGGTATGAACAGATCAGTTACCAAGCAGTCTGGTGATCCCACCACTAACATGCATCAGGCAGGCTTGCGAAGCAATAAAGAAAAAGGGACCTGGAAAGTTGCTTAGGTTGTGAGGACTCAAACATATCCACAAAAGTCTTGCTTAGTAATGTTCATAATTTTGCTCACATTAGCCTAAAGCAGGGTACATCAAGGTGTCTAGGTAACCAGAGAATGAAGAAAGCGCAGTATACTTGTACAGCACTACACTACTGACCCACTGAAAATGCATGAACTATGATGCCTGCAAAAACACGGCTGAGCTCACTCTGAAAGCGGGAGCAGCTGTTTTCACAGCAGCGTGTGGTTACACAGAAAGGCTGACCTGTGCTGGAACTGAACAGTGGCTGCCCAAGAGCTGGGGTGCGAGGACTGATGGAGAACGGGTGTGCTGGGCCAGATGGTGTGTGAGCTGAGACTTACTGTGTGGAGAACCAGACTCTCTGCAGCACTTAACCACCCACACTAAGGACGTTCTAGACGCTCTGCAGCACTTAATCACCCCACACTAAGAGGGTGTTCTAGACTCTCTGCAGCACTTAACCACCCCACACCAAGGATGTTCTAGACTCTCTGCAGCACTTAACCACCCACACTAAGGATGTTCTAGACTCTCTGCAGCACTTAACCACCCACACTAAGAGGGCGTTCTAGCCAACACTATACAAGCCGGAGTGAATGCACTGCTGTCTTCAACATCCTTTGCCACCTCTCTAAAACAGTGAGGGTGCAGGGGTCATGGACAGCAATGAAAGCGCATGCAGACAGGAACTACAGAACAGGGGTGGTGTCACTAGACATTTCCAACAGTCAATGTCTTCGTAGCTTTAAAAAATGTCATTAAGAAGTTGGTGGGGAAAATCATCACAGAGAAAGGATCATATATGATGCCAATCTCATGAATTCATGGTGAGTGTCAGAACTGCTGTTGCTAAAGAACTGGAGTAAAAGCCATACTGGGCCTCGCTGCTGTAGTCACTCGCTTTATGTAGAGACTTTTGTTCTCCAGCTACATAGGCTTGATTTCTTTATCAAGAGACAATACTTAGAATATGACACTCATGAACTATCAAAATACTTACTTTAGTTCTGAGAAAAACAAGTTAAAGTGATTTACAGAATCTATCTGCTTTATGAAGGTTTCCACATTTTCAAGAAATACCTATCAAACAAAAAAGTGTACAAGCATTTTAGTTCAGATCGTCTTTGCTCAAGAATAAAGTCAGATGACACAGTCAGTCAGACGTGCACACAGACAGACAGGCAGATACGCACACACAGACAGTCAGATGCACACAGTCAGACGTGCACTACCTTAGGGTTGTGGTCGTGAATGAGATTGAGGTTTATTCTCAGTTTTCTCATGCATTGAAATGCTTCCTTGAACATAAGTCTGCAAAGACAAAGAAAATGGATAAAAGCATATTTCATGAGAAACTATGTCCCGTGAGCTATAATCCGATTACAGCCCTGTAGTAAAAGTTAACCTGATTTTAGTCTGAGATTAAAGAAGGAAAAAATAACAGGTGACACATTATTTTCCTTTCCAGATGTATAGTTACCACAGGAGCCTGGACTACACGTCCTTACGAGCACACAGGTACCATCACACGCAGCTTACTTACGAGCACACAGGTACCATCACACGCAGCTTACTTACGAGCACACAGGTACCATCACACGCAGCTTACTTACGAGCACACAGGTACCATCACACGCAGCTTACTTACGAGCACACAGGTACCATCACACGCAGCTTACTTACGAGCACACAGGTACCATCACACGCAGCTTACTTACGAGCACACAGGTACCATCACACGCAGCTTACTTACGAGCACACAGGTACCATCACACGCAGCTTACTTGTCCAGCCACTTCCGGATCTGAGCCAAGACCAGGGTCCGATGATGAACAACCTCCAAGTTTCCCCTCGGCATCTCAAAGGAGATCAAGACATCTCTAATCAATCACAGGATGCGCAGTTCTACTTAACTCCTCCTGAACCACCACAATACTATAAATGAACAATTAGTAGAATCCAGTTGTGCTCAGTATTAATCTTGACTTCAAGCAAGTTCCCATGGAGACTTTATTGGCCAGAGCCTGTATCAGTCAACACTCCTTCACATAAGCCAACAGACAGCCGAGAGAGAAGGGCTGAAGCAGGTTGAAAAGTACAATAGAACCTGAAATGCAGCCTGTATGTACTCTGTGGTGGTGGCTGAACAACAGAACGTCTGAAGAATCAAGCCTACCTGTAGTATAAGTTTTGTGTCCTGGGGAACAACTATGACAATCCGGGAACCCCTTTCCACTTTCCGTACATTTTCTCCTTTGGCCTCCTGGCTGCCGGACACACCAGCCTGTAACGCTAAAAAGACCACGGGATGAGACCTGTGATCGCAGAAAGTCATGCTCCATTAACCGGCACTGAAGCTGCCCGGTATCTCAGTTAATGGCAAGTTCCTTTGCTCTCCCAGTCAGCCTCAAGACCCTTGGAAGGGGCCTTCTCTTCACAGACTCCTGGAAGGGGCCCTCTCTTCACAGAGCCCTCACACATTCATTTCCACAGCTCAGGTCCGTACGGCTCGCCAGTAGGGACCCGTGTTGGAACTTAAGTATTAGATGAACTGTATAACAAAATTTCATTAAGAATTTTTTAGAACTATGTTTCTTAAGTTAGGATTTTATTTGTGGAGTCTCTAGTAACTGAAACGGAATGATTTTCAAAGACACTATGTGGAGAGGGTTACAGAGGTGGCCTAGGGGCTAAGGGTGTGCACTGCTATTTCAAAAGACCAAAGTTCAGTTCCCAATGCACACACTGGGCAACTCACAAGTCACTGTAATTTCAGCTTCCATGGATACCTGTACCCACATGCAAAACGAGTGCCTTCATTTTGTAAAGGAAAAGCTTACTTTTAAGTGAAGCATCCCTCAGGGAAACACACTGGCAGGTATGGGAATGGGTTGTCAACAGTAAAAAGTCATCGCACACTGCAAACGACGTGATATTCGATGCCACCTGTAACAGGCAAAACAGGGCCAAGAGGAGGTTGGATACTGTACTTAGAAACAACACTGTGAGAAGGATCAACCCAAACCAAGCCTGGATACCTCAGTGTCATTGATGAAAAAGCGACACCTGTCAGTCAGACCAAGGACACACTCCTGCAAAAAAAAATGAAACTGAAATTACAACAACTCCATTCACAAGTGCTTCAGCCTACGGTGCTTACCACACAGTCTATTGCTCTGAGATTCCCTAAGCCTCTGTAATCAGGACCGGATGCAGACAGCTAAGACAAGGGTAGTGCTGTGCAGGGCGTGGACACGCCACCACCCAGGCAAGCCCGCCATTCATCCTATCTACTATGCTTGTTTTCAATCTATTCGTTCTGTTCTTTGACTCTGTCTCCAAAAGTCAATCTCCTATCCTATTCCTATTCCTCTCCAACCTTGTCCTCTGGGTAGCTAGAACCACATACTGAACATGAAAAACACATCTCTCTAATGATTAAAATACAAAAACAGCTTTATCCTTTTTGGAGAGGGTAAGGGGGTTCACTTTTAATTATTTGTCAGAATAAAATGAAAAATTACATATTTCTCTTCACTCCCAACATTTCTGTTTATCTAGGCCAAGTGAAGAGTCTTTCTGAACAGTGATTTATACTCCTGACAGGGACAAAAGCCTCCCCTCTGCTCTGGGAAGGACACCACATCCTGTACCTCAAGGCGGGGGACCTGAACCAGGATATACAAAAAGAGGAGGCTGTGGCCTGCAGCATCTGCCATGTACAGTACCCATCTCTCTAAACTCGGGGTTTTTCTAGAACCTTCTCCTGGAAAGCTTTCCGGGAACAGCTTTCTTCTCCGTGTCTCAGCACACTCATCAATGCCTCATAAAGGCTTTCCTGAACTATCACCATACTAACTATCATCCTTTAGTTATCCCCAAACACTCACTGTTTGCTCCCATCAGAAGGAATGATTCTATCAAAAGAAGGTGTGGTGGTTTAAATGACCACGGCACTCAGAGGCTCATATATCTGAACACTTGGTTCCCCAGCTGGTGGAACTGTTTGGAAAGGATTGGGAGGTGTGGCCTTGCTGGAGGAGGTGTGGCACTAAGGGCAGGCTTTGAGGGTTCCAAAGCCCAGGCCATCAGTTAGCATGCTCACTTGCTTGTGTGTGCTCTCTGTCTGTCTGTCTGTCTGTCTGTCTGTCTGTCTCTCTGCACACACCCACACACACTCTCTCTCTGTCTCTTTCTCTACATTCTCTCTCTCTCTGCCTTGTGGTTGTTGTCTCGACATGTAAGCTCTTAGCTACTATCCGGCACTATGCCTGCCATACACCCACCATGATGGTCATGGAATAACTTCCCATGGTTATGGTGTCTTACCACAGCAATGAAAAGCAAGTAAGACAGAAGCTGTTTTGTTTTATAACTACTACATCCTACAACTCATCTCAAATATAGACATTCTAGTATTTGTGGGTGACAGTTTATCAAGTATTATTCTTCACAATATAACCTTTCATCATAAGGCTTTTAATGAAGTTTTGACTCTTCTGTAAGTGACAGATGAAATTTACCAATTACATGTATTATCTCTCTAAATTTTCTCCTGAACTATGAAAGACGGATTATCCCCTCTCCTAGATGAAGAAGGTGGAGAAAGATAACACCCTGTCACGACCCTGGGATTCAGTGGCGACAAAGGTCCATGCTATTGTACCCAATGCCCTTGGCGCTGACTGCTCTCCATGGTGAATTTCCTGCTCTGTGTTTATTTATTTACCTGTTCTCCAATCATGGCCACTTCCATCTGTGTGCACGGCTGAGCGAATCGAACAGGAACTCCTTCAGAGTTCTTCCACGGTTCCACAGCCAGAGGTGGTGATTCTGTTGTAAGATTGGTAAATTTAGTTTACAAATAGCTCATAAGCTCTTCCCTGGGAGGCGCTGAAAAAGCAAACAACATCCCATGCCTCACCCCCAAACAGAAGCCAACAGCAAAACACAGCATGCAACTTGCATTTCTCTCCATCCATCAGGACACAGAAACAGACGAGGCCTGCCAATGCTGCGCTACAGCATGGCTGCCTGGGGGTGAGTGTAACTCAGTGATGCAGCGCTTGCCTAGTGAGCATCAAACCTGGGCTGGAACCCAGCAAGGTAAACAAGCAAAAACAACTAACAGCCAAGTGAAGTAACGCAGACTCAGACAGACCAGCACCACACGCTCTCTCAAACTAGACTTTAACTTCTATGTGTGTATGCAGTGTGGGGAGGGTCATGTCACTACACAGGAGACCAAAAGGCAGGAAGAAGAGATACTGGGAGGGCAGAAGGAAAAAAGGGTGACAGAGTACAAGTGACATACAAGAAGTTAGTGGACCACCGGGGGTGGGGGGTTGGGGGGTGAGGGAGATGTGGGAAAGGAGGATTAATAAAAATATATAGACATGCCACAATGAAAACATCACTTTGTATGTTAAAAATAATAATAACAACAATGACTAAAAAAGATTGGAATAAACAATCCCCAATAATCAAGTGACTCTGATAAGAACTCATGAGTATACACTCTTAAGAATTATTTATAAGTCTGCTTTCCTAACATTCTGATACTCACCCCAAAGGCACTTGAGCACCTGGCCATCAGCCAGCTGCACCACCACTGACTTGGTCTTGGAATTGTAACATAAACCAATGATGACCCCATCCACAGTCACAGATGAACTAAAGGAAAAAACAAACAAACAATCATTGGTAATCTTTCTTAAAAATGGAGACACTTCACTGATTTTACTATAGTGAAAACTAACAATAATCCTTTGGGGGTACAACACTGCCTATGTCAATGTCATACATATATCTTTACACTCAAAGTGCAAGACTCACAGACATAGACAGACGGAGAAGTAAAGTGTTTACCTGTCACTGACACACCTTTCCAGAACTGGTAAGAAAGCTGTCTACCCTGTAGGAACAGCACTCCTCCTCAGGTAGGAGCTAATTATAATGTACTGCAGTTTATTGATTTCCTTGTGTATTCTTTTTTTAGTGTGTTTTTGTTTGTTTGTTTGTTTTGGAGACAGAGTAGCTTTGGCTGTCTTGGAACTCATTATGTAGACCAGGCTGGCCTCAAACTTACAGAGATATGCCTGATTCTATGTCCCACGTGCTGGGATTAAAGGCGTATGCCACTACACACACCTTCTTTATATATTCTTAACTTATAAACTCATCAGCTGGGCCTGGTGAGGTCAGCCTGTAATCTCCCAGCTACTTAGGGAGCTGAGGCAGAAGGATTATAAGTTCCAGAAAAGCCTGAGCTACAGAATGAATTCATTATCAGCCTGGGCTATTTATTGAAACCCTGTCTCAAGTTTTAAACAGTTTTAAAAAGAAGAGTGGGACTGTAGAGATGGCACAGTGCTTTAGAGCACTGGCTGCTCCTCCAGAGGACTCAGGTTCATTTCTTAGTGCCCACATGGTTGCTCACGACCTGTAACTCACTTCCAGGTCTGATGCCCTCTTCTGGCTTCCATAGGCACTGCACGTACTTGGTGCACAGACATTCCAAACACCCATAAACATAAACACAAACATAAAGAAAACAAGAAGGCGGAAGACATGTGCTTCCCTGGTATATTCAGGACCCCAAGTCCAACCCTCAATACCACTAAATATATACATACATAGATACATGATAAATGATGGAGAAAAATACAATTTCTTAAAGGAGAAGGCAACTACAAAAACAAAGCCAATGCTAGGATTCCATTCAAGGAAATTACTTGTAACCAATCACGTGAGAGGGAGAGAAGTGGGGAGAAGAGGAGGGTGGGGGCGAGGAGGAGGGAGGGAGGGAGGCAAGCTCTAAAAACTGATCAGTTTCTCCACCAATGCCTCAAATTTGTGAGGGACAAACTATCTTCCAGAGATTTTGAGAAAAGACTGAGCTGGACAATGGGACTGTACCTGGCTCTTGCTTGACCAGACAAGTCAGGTGACCTTACACCTCAGAGGCAAGCCCACAGTAGATAGTGCTGACGGCACATACATCAGAGGTATCATGAGAAAAAATGAACTCATGGGAGTAAAACACCCAGAAGATGATGTTACCATGCAAAGCCACAGAAAACACAGGCTACCAACAGTTCTTAACTGATCAAGTGCCATTTCATCACTTAAAGACATTAGTATTTTACATGTACAAAAAAGTAGTTTTTGAGATACAAAACATTACAATCATAAATGACATTTTTACTTAGAACCCTAGTGCTGAATTAGTTAGAAACTATAGAAATGTGGACATTTCTAATCCAAACTGTTGTGTTTATCAGAAAGCAGGGTTCTGCTGAATTCGGGGCAGCATGTATCTAATGCAGAACATAATCAACGCAGAGATCTTCACAGGAGGCTTCTTCAAGATAGCATCAAGTTTTGTGAGCTGCCACCATAATGTGACCTAACAGGGAGGGCTTTAGTTACAAGCGACCGTAAGGTTAACACACAACACTAAGCACAACACTAAGCAGCCAGTCTCCCACTGCAAACCTGAAGCATCCTGGGAGGGGGCCAGAAATCTTCTCTATCCCCCAGGGCTTGAATGACAAAGACTGCAGTTGTCAGCACTGGTATGTGACACAGGTGAAGCCATGAATCAAACAAGCTTGGGCCCAGGGTATATGGAACTAGCAAAGGAAGAGACTTTCTAATGTGAACAAAGCCACACACAGAAGAGGAGGGACAAGTTTAATGTTACTCCTCAAAACTGAATGTAGTAATATACATTTCTTTACTACATTGGCCCATGAGACTTGACCACTGTAATTATCTATTAAAATCAATTGTAAAATCTAATGATTACTTTGTGAAATGTGAGTGGATAACTGATTAAAATACTTAACACAACTTACAAAAGTTTTGCTTATCTGAAATCTCCTTTTTTACCATTTCTTGACACATTTTTGATCTGTTGTTTTGACATGACTCAAAACTGCGTCCAGGCAGGCCCCTTCCCATGTGCCTAAGGAGGGAGCTACTCCTCCTCCTCAGCCGCTCTGTTCACACACAGTGTGACGTCACTGCCAGTTTCACATACTAATTACATGGTACCTGACATCCAGATGTCCTTGCTCTTCAGCCATCTCGGAAGGGACCATAGTCAAATGGTGGATGACAGACTGCAGGCTGGAGTGGCTGTGGCTCACAGCCAGGAAAGCGTCTTCTTCAACCCAGCTGAAAAAGCTCAGCGGCAGTGGGTTAACCCCCCTCGTCTTCAGTGTTCCCAAGCTGAACTCTGTTTCAGATATGAAAGAGTATCCAAGATGAGAAGAAGCTTTCATCACTGAACCTTCAAAGGCCAGCAGGCATCTGCCTCAGAAGACAGGGCCCTTTCCAAAGCACCTCACACCAGAACCACTAGTAACTGGGGACAGTTTCCTTGCTTCTAACACATTCCTGATCTGTCACCTCACAAAGGAGAGCTCCTGCCCTGTGTCCAGTGGCAAGTCACTGTAGCTACTTTTTTTTTTTTTTTTTTTTTGGTTTTTACAAGACAGAGTTTCTCTGTATTGATTTGGAGGCTGTCAGTCCAGCCCGGCCTCGAACTCACAGAGATCCGCCTGCCTCTGCCTCCCAAGTGCTAGGATTAAAGGCGTGCGCCACCAACGCCCGGCGAGTCACTGTAGCTACTTAAGAGGCTCATCTGTATCGTGATCTTTCTGTTCAGCCAGCTCCACTGCACACAGCTCGCCCAAAGTTGTACCACACGGGCCTCGCAGGCTCTGGTTCTCTCCAGATTCCTCCCAACTCTTTCCCAATCCAAATCAGTTCTTCCCTGAGGGTCAACCTGAAGACTCATGTCATCCTGTTTTCTCTGAATAACTGGGATTTTCCTTCTTGATTTTTAACACATTCTAACCCACAGCTGTACAAATAGTGGGTCACAGTATCACGTGGGGTCACATGACTGCATGTGAGGACAGCAGAAAGAATAGGAATCGGGATGAACAAGTAAATGGTAAAATCTATGCATTCCAAAGAGCTGAGGTTGCCGTCCTTACATGGGTTTATCTGCCCTCAGGAGCACCACTCACCTCCTACAGAGGGGGGCCTCCCTAGCCATGGGCAATGAACACGACAGACCACTGGGCAGTGAGCCCGAGGACTTTCCTGTCTTGCCATGCACACAACACCAGGACTGCCATGTTTTAATGCGGTTTCTGGAAACCAAACTCAGGTCCTCATGCTTGTAAGCCAAACACTGTTGGCTGAGTTATCTCAATCACAAAAGAATTGTTTTAAAGCCAGGTGTGGGTGGTCCACACCTTTAATCCCAGCACTCTGGAGACAGAGGTGGGTGGATCTCTGTGAGTTCGAGGCTAGCCTGGTCTATAGAGTGAATTCCAGGAAAGGCTCCAAAACAATACCAGAAAAACAAAAACAAAAAATTGTTTTATAATAAGTTTATGGTTATCAGTAAATGCTTGATTTGTACACTTTTATCTATCTATATACCCAGTTACATAAAACTTAGTAGAAAAGGGGTCATGAATTGAAGGAGTTAAGGAATCATATCCCTGCCTAGTGGTTTCAAATTATGTTACAATTTGAATCTGGAGCTGGGCAGTGGTGGCTTAGGCCTTTAATCCCAGTACTTGGAAAGCAGAGGCAGGCGGATCTCTGTGAGTTCAAGGCTAGTTTGGTCTACAAAGTGAGTTCCAGAACAGCCAAAGCTGTTATACAAAAAACCCTGTCTCAAAACACACAAACACACAAAAACAGGTCTGGGATACTCCTGCAAGGCCATGTGTTAAAGCCTGGACTCTAACCTCTGTACCCTGTAAATAACAGCATGAGAAGGAGGCAGAGATTAGTACAAGTTTTAATCACTACAAGAATGCCCTCACCTCAGAGGTGCCTATTCTCGTGAGTGGGTCTCTTGCATCACATGCTACAATCATAAAGCCAGTGCCAAAGCACTGGGGCCACCAGGTCATTTAAATCCTAAACCCTGGGAGTCAAACTAAGCCTTTCCTTCTTAAGCCGCTCGATCTTAGGGATTTGCTGTGGTAACTGGAAAGCTGGCTGACCATGAAGGAATGCAAGCTTGTCAGCACTGCTTATGCAGGCACCAGCATACACTTCCTGGAAAACTGCTTGCATTACATAGAGAGCACACACCTCAGAACCCATTTCTAGATCCTCTTACGTGTGGTACTTGTTTCTATTAATTTGTACCAGGTGTCCCTAGTAATGAAGAACAGGAACACTCCAAACTGGATAGACTCACACTCCAAGTTCTGCGGTGAGCAGGTCCACGTCCCTGGGTGAACTGTTACCTATTCAACTCTGCTTTTATTTGTTGGTGCTCTGTAGCCAGTACTTAGGGGCTGGCTGCCATGCCCTTCTGCAAAGGCCTCCAGGGGGCCTGAGGTACTTAATTACACCCAACCATGTGTACTGCTGTTTCAGAGGGAAAGTACACACTGATTTCAACCTGAGAGTCTAAAATTACAACTCCCAGAAATTCTGTAATCTGGAATAAGACCAAGCTAGAAACTGAACTGGGTCATCCACATACAAATGCCATATATATATATATATATCCCCATTTATGTGAGGGAATGCAACTGTGTCTTGGTGTTTTTACCTTCATCTTCCCATGAGTCTCTCTAGAGAACCAGGCAGCCATGGGAATGAGTTCCCCTGCCACTCAGTAAACTAAGTCATCAGTGTCCTTCACCAGGCTCAGCTGGTGTACCTACTTCACGTTTCCCAGAATATAGGCTGGGTGAATTCAGGACAAAATGCTGATTACATCCCCAGAGATGCAAAATACTTAGGAACTCACGTGTATCTCTTTTCCAGATGAGGTGTTCTAAGGGGAACTTTAAATCCATTTCCACCCACGGCTCCCAGTTTCACTGTGGAATCCATGTCTGGCTTATCGCCTAGGAAACAAAAGTGCAAATATCATTGCAAGCTATTTCTCTTAACACCAAGAATGTAGGGTCTTGCAACTTGTGGGTTCTCAAAGACATATGAAGCAATCTAAAACAAAAATGACATTTCAGCCTCATTCTTGAATCACCACATACCTTTCAAGCTCAACCAACACATCTTTCCATTCATACCATTTCAGCCTGTTTTCACCAGTGAAGACAACTCTTCAGCAGGGCCGGGGAAAAGGCTGTCTTCCCCACACTGTCAATACTCTCCACTGTCCCAGTCACCTCTCAGTGGTCTAAATCCTCCACAGTCCTTAGCATTCACGAGACAGTCTCTCCCCACTGCTAATCTACTTCAACCCTCTAAAATACTCTACTCTGTTCAAGACCCAGAACACTGTGCCCTGTCCCGAGCTCTCTAATGGTGTCTAGCTCACTCAAGAGTAAAGGCCTTCAAGGCCCTGAAAGAGCTGGCGTTCCCTGTCACCCACCCACTCCCTGTCCTTTATCTGCCTATCATCACTGACCCTTTGGCTGTTTCCTGACACAACACAAGAGACACCTTTGTGGCTGCTTCTTACTGCTTGGGATGCTCTTGCACACATGTGGCATCTCCTGCTCTGATTCTCCGCAGAACTCAAATGTCACCTTCACAGAGAAGCCTCCCTTGTACCACCCCACCCCCACCCTCCCCCATCCCCTCGCAACAGTTACTCTCCTGGCTGTCTTCCTAAGTCATTCTATGATTAACTTTGCTGCACAGCACTAACCAGCTGACAAACTGTAACAATGAGCATGTGAGCATCACCTAGGTAAGAGCCCTTTTCACGTGTTCAAGAGCTACAACAGCACTGTGCAGTGTGGCCCTGAAGTCAGGGATGCTGGAGTCCTGCCCATGGAGTTCCTACGAAAGGGGGCTGGTCGTCTAAGGGCTGATGGAAAGGAGGAGCCCCACTGGGGATCAACCGGCCCTGATTACTCTCTCGGCAGCTATCAAGGCTTGTCCTCACTGAAGCTCCAACGGCATCTGAAACAAAGCCGTGACTGTCTGTCAAGACACAGCCACAGACCCTCAGATATGATAATGCCAAGTGTCGAGTCTCCCAGGACACGGCGTGCAGACACTGCCCGTCTGTGGCCACAAGTACACACCTCTGAGCAGCAGGAAAAGGCTCTGACTGCTCGCAGGACAGCACTAAGATTGTGTCCATTGTGTGCAAAGGGACAGGGAGATGCCGCACTATTTCCAGAGCCGAGTGTTAGTATTAAGTGACGCCCTCTTCAGGGTCATCAGGGCATGGGGAGATGTATGCATGAGCCAAACAGGACAGAAAGAGAAGAGGAGGCTGCGATTAAACACCATAACAGACCTGAGTGTGAGAGGCACTGGTGCCGACATTCATGACAGCACACTGGCCTGCTTCTGTTCTGCAGCAGGGACTGCCCTGAGCTCCTTAGTTAGGCTGTTTCCACTTACCACACTTGTAGACAGAAATCTGGTTGCTGGCATCAAGGACAGCAAGGTCATTGCTCTTTTCAAGTTGAGCAGAGAACACAACTTGATTCACTGGATGTGGGAATAGCAGCCGGTAGGTACACATGGGAGGAGGGATCACAGTCTGCCGGAATACCGTTATCAACACCCGTTCTGTACAACGAAAGGGAGGATTAGTCATGCGGGTGTTCAGTGTGCAAAAGCAGGCAGGAAGCATCACTGAGCACCTAAACGGCATGGTGGCATGCAGTAGCTCTTCACAATAACCGTTAGCATTTCCTCACTAAGAAACCTATAACAGACAGGTGCAAGGAGCTCTGTCTGCACCTGGCTAGTGTGGCCTTCAGAACTCTACTGCCCCTGGAAACGTCAGGTGCCAGGGATCAGGGCAAAAAGACCAAGAGGTCAAAGTTCCAGCTGTAAACCTGGGTCTGCAATGAAGAGGGACTCAACTAGAGTACCCGGTACCTCCATAACCTTAAGGGCCACAACTGGAAGGTTGAGAAAGGAGGGCTACCATGGGCTACTCAAGGAGCCTGGTCTACCCAGGGAGGACCAGGGAGATATGCCACGACTCCATCTAAAAAGGACCCCCAATGAAAAAGCACTTTTCTTTGTATAAATTGGTAATGAGGTAAGGCTAAGTTCTCTACAGGACATGATTATATAAATTAGTATTAAGTGAGCTACACAGAACATTTAGTGCCAAGAGTGTCTATCTGCTGTCAGCAAACTGTCTCTGGGTATTTCATTCTATAATCTGCTCTCCACCACTGATGCCTACACCTAATTAAATACAATCTTCCTTACAGGAGATAAATATCTATGATTTAACTGAGCATCCTGGAGAAAGAGGTAATTTACAGTGCTTAGAACAAAAGCCAAAGCCAAGCACAGTGGAATGCAGGGCCAATACAAGGCTAACACCCACTGCTACATACACAGCCCCACTCCTCCGCAGAATGAGAAAACCATCGGCCTTCAGCTTCAAAAGCCAGAAGTGTCAATATATAAGGTTATAACCACAGTTCAGCAGGGAAGTGGCATGGGGAGGAACTAGGGGTTTCAAGCAACTATGTATTCATTTACTGACACTCCCAGTCAGACATCAAACAAACTAAACACTAAGATGAAGATGTCCCCACTGTTCTGGTCAAACCAGCACGTCTGCAGGCTCTGGTCAGGACCCACATGCTCATCGGCACATTTCCCAGCAGCTTACTTCCATCAATAACAGCCACATTTGCCAAGTCACTGGCACTATTTCCAGAGCTCCGGTCAGTGGTCCAGTGCCAGTCGCAGCAGAGATAACGCCAGCCCTGACACAGAATATGTAGCCGGTATGGCGTCACCGGGTCCCACAGCAGAGACACGATCTGGTTCTTCCCACTGGTGCTGAAGGGCAGGCTTTGCTTGAGATACCAGTGATAGTTCCCCATGGTCCAGAGCTGGACTGTGTGTGGAGAAAAGGAAAGGAAGGCTGTCAGAGACCAGGGGACCCAGCTGAGCACCATTTGCAACAGGGGGACAGTGTTAACTTTGCATTTTTCCAAGAGTCCTTCTTCCTGTTTGGTCTCTCTAAAATAATAGTTGTGTAATAATCAATGCCAAAAGATAGCTAAGTCAGTATTTCAGGATGTTTTTGGCATGCAAACTTGAACAAAAGATAACCAGACTAAATGTGCAGCTATGCACCACACCGTAGGGATACAGTCTGAGAAGTGTGACGTCCACAGGTATCATCTAGGGCAAGCATTGCAAAGTATCTTCACAGAGAATCAGACAGCTACAATGCCCTTGGGGATACAGTCCAGTGACAGCAGGGCCTAACATGGCCTGCTGCAAAGTCTTTACGTGGCACACGACTGCACCAAGGCGCTCCAGGGAGGCTCTAGTCCAGCGGCACTGTGGTAAGCTGGGTTTAAGATGCCTGTTGTCTGCATGCAGTTATGTCCAGGCTATCTTGTATTAACCAACATTCCTCTGCCTGAAGATTAATATGCACTCAGTCATCCCAATATGTATTAAAATTACCAATTATGCCCAAGATGGCATTTAACTTCCCCACTTAACTTAGTGTTCACGGAAAATAATGCTTATCGCTAATCACATCATTATAGCATGTCTATGTAGCCATGGGCTAGCAGGCTGAACTGCAGGGTTTATGCAATAGAGGGCAGGGTTTAGCCAGCATTAAGAACTACTAAAATAGCCAGGCATTGGTGGCGCATGCCTTTAATCCCAGCAGGCGGATCTCTGAGTTCAAGGCCAGCCTGGTCTACAGAGCTAGTTCCAGGACAGCCTCCAAAACAATACAGAGAAACCCTGTCTCGAGAAAAAAAAAAAAAAAAAAAAAAAAAAGAACTACTAGACTGAATGCACAAACTACTCAATTACATTTCAGATTAAAAAGTCCTGCTGATTAATGAGTTTGAAAGAAACTTAGAAAATAGGCAAGCTGAAACATTTATGAACGTGTTGACTTCACTCCTGTTGGCTATGAGCTATGTGCCTAATAGCAAGAGTTAATTTAGTGGCACAGAAGAAAATGACAGTGATGTAAAATGATACACATGTACTCATGAAACGGACCCTTGCTTGTGACAGTGTCAAAGCCCGTTATAAAACAGTATGTCCCAATGGGAGGGTATGGAGGAAAGAAAGATGGGCAAGTTTGGAGGGAAGGAAGGGAGAGATGTTCAAGTTGAAATACAATCTCAAAACAAAGCAAGCAAACAAACAACAAAAACCAGTGTGGCTAGGCAGTGGTGGGGAACACCTTTAATCCCAGCAGAAGCAGAGGCAGAGGCATGGGAATCTCTGTGAGCAAGTTCCAGGACAGGCTCCAAAGCTACAGAGAAACCCGGTCTTGAGAAACCAAAACAAACAAAAACCCAGCATGTATCAGCCAGGCATGGTGGCACACACCTTTAATCTAAGCAGAGGTAGAGACAGGCAGATTTCTATGAATTTGAGACCAGCCAGGTCCACATAAGACCTACCTTAAATACGGGAGGGAGGGAGGGAATATCACGAATTACATTTAAACAGGGTTTGGGGTTGGCTGAGTGACAGAATGCATGCCCAGTAAGTCTAAGACCCTGGGTTAGCTAGCCAGCATGGGGGGGGGGGGGAGCAGGACAACAGACCATCCTAAGTCTGTACTTAATGCCTACATCTTAAAAGCTACAAAAAAGCCCATCTCATGTGCAACTGAAATCCACTCACTTCTACAGCATTTGATTTCCTGCACTGATGATTGTGGTCACAGAGTTTGTCTTTGCTCTGCTAGCGTATGGTGCCCTGGCTAAGCACTGATCTAGATGTTTCTCTGAGAAATTGTAAGTGATTACCCAACAATGCATGAAAGTCTTAAAAAAAAAACCAGGATTCCCAGGAGAGAAAAAACTTTGTCTCAAAACCACAACACAAAATCCTGCCTGAACTTACAGCCTGCCGCAGAAACTCAAACCTGCCATCCCCACAGGCACGCGAGCCAATTCCTTAAAACAGAGCAGCCACATCCCTCCTCCCCCCCTTCCTCTATCTACATCCTGCTTCTGCTTCTCCAGAGAACCCTGAGTAACTCATGACTGAAGTCCTCTGGAGACCCAAACCTAGACCCTCCGGTGAGCATCTACACATGTAAGGCTACACTGAGTTCACCGAAGGAGGAAGGGTGAGGGGTATCACACACGAAGCATGAGCCAACATTCACCCGCTGCCATACCATAGCTTTTCAGAGGAGAAGTGCCATCTTCCCTCGGAAGGTCTTCCAGCCACACAGCAAGCACAGTGGAGTCTGCATTCCACAGCAAGTCATTTACCTGGGGGACAGAAGACACTGCACCTCCGGTTGCTTGTCTGCTTCAGACTCTGCAACACTGAACTCCCCGCATGTGTGAATCAACCATACAGCACTAGAGCTGACCTCCAGCTCTGAGTTACTGACCTACAGTTGTTAAACCAATTTGTGCAACTGGTGCTATAAAAAGGACTTAAAAATGCTTAAAGATTTAAATACAAATTTAACAAAAAAAGCAATATAACATTTTTAGAAAAATCAAGAAACTTGACTATTAGACATAGTAATTACCTTATATTAAATACATTATTAGTTATACATATTAATAATTAATACTAAGTATGGTATAATATAGATTAAAAAATATGGTTCCATAAAGAAAAACTCTCTTAAAAATTTACACAAGAAAGACTATCCTACGTAATTTTTTAAAAATTGACATGATTAACGATTTCATATGTCTCCAACCAGGATTTTAATGGTACATTAGCTGCTTAATGTTTAAATATCGGTCACTTGGAAAGTTAGTCTTCTTAGCCAAGAAGAAACGCCGCTTCTCTTCTAAGTCAAAAGCCACCTTGTTGGCACAGCAGCCTCTATTGTAACCTTTATCAAATGCAAACTCCTGCAGCCGAGGAGAGTGCGCCAAGCTGGGGGACAGAGACTTCAGACACCTACTTTAATTTCATCTTTGAAGAAAGGAAGTGTAAACTGTCCATGAAGAAGGCCATTTTTCTCAAGAAAGACAATATCTTGCTGGTTGGGTTTATCTTGAGTAGAGGCGATCAAACTGCCTGAGGGTCTGAAAGCAAAGTCCACGTTAGAATAGTCAAGAGTTCAACCTGCTGGCTGAGCACAGGGAAGGCTTAGACCAAAGATTCCTATTTTTTCTCAGTAGAAAAAAAAATAATGAAAGCCTTTTTAAAGGTGTGTGTGTGTGTTTGCGGTGATGGTTCCAAGGAAGTTTTAAGCTCACCATTTGTGTATTGACAAGCAGTTCACCCCAGTGTGTAAGAGGAAAAAGTGTTCTTCCTAACTGGTCCCAAGGCACCATTTGCACACAGTCTTTCTGATTTAAACTGTAACTGAATGATTTAGGAAAAAAAACAAACCTATTTCAAGTATAATGTCCTAAGTGATCCCTTGCCTTTTCATTTGCATAACGGCATGAGCCTTCCATGCAAGGGCAGGGGCTCAGCATTTCTCTTTTGCAACCATGTTATCCACGCGCCTCTCCCCACTTCTCTCCAATGGTTTAACTCAAACACTCAAATCCCACTCTAGTACTGGGGGGAAACAGATGTCTGCAGCCTAGAGGCCCCTGGATTTGCATGCGACAGACGCTGCTGCAACAGGTGGCATTTATTCTACCAACATCTGCATGCAGCCAAAATGACAGGCGAGTGGTGCTTGGCACAAAGCAGTGCTCTGGGGAGTGAAGGGAAGGAGGCGTGGTTTAACCTGCAAGTTTCCCAGCCACAGACCACCCGCTGCAGGAACCCGCCCAGAGGACAGTGGCTTTTCACTGTGGGGCGGGGGGAGCAGAGGAGCCCTAGACTCATTCTCACACTCACTTCCAAGCCAGGGCGGGCCCCAGTCCTGGCACAGGCTCGCTGGTTGAGTGCAAAGCAAACTCCCGGTTCCACACTCTGATCTTCCGAGCCCCTGCAAGGGAGGTAGAGTAAATACACACACTTACAGCATAACCCCATCTCTCCTACACATTCAAATCTGACCTTCCGAGCAAACACACACACTTACAGCATAACCCCATCTCCCCTACACATTCAAATCTGACCTTCCCAGCAAACACACACACTTACAGCATAACCCCGTCTCTCCTACACATTCAAATGTGACCTTCCCAGCAAACACACACACTTACAGCATAACCCCGTCTCTCCTACACATTCAAATCTGTACTTAGCAGGTGAAGGAGGACCAGATGGCCTTAGAGCCCTTGTATAATTCCTACGCCATTAACATTGAAGGTGGAGCCTCGTTCCCTACTCTGTATAATAAATAATCTATTCAGAGCAAAAGAAAACTTTTCTAAATTTTAATTAGGCAAAATTTAAGTGTAATTTATTTCCATACCTGTTTGTGGGCAAACAACACTCACAGCAAAAAACTGTCCATCCCCACGCCAAGTAATTTGTGGTCTATGGTCATCCCAGGGCAGGGCAGACTCATGCTAAAGAGAGAAACAACAGTATTACTGGAGAACCAATGCTAAAGTCAAACAATCCTTGGCCACCAAATATTCATCTTTTATATGTTGTTGAAGCTACCTAAAAAATGCCTTCAGAGACTCTCCAGGAACTTTCTAGAAGGGCTCTTAGTCCCAGAAATTAAGAATAACTTGGAAACAAAGTTTCTTCGGGCATTAGAAGGCTACAAATAGGGGTTAAACACAACAAGCAAAGGAAGTAACTGTTCTGTCAAAAGTTTTATTTCATTGTGTAAACTTCACGACAGGACCAAGTGAGGAGACTGGGCAGTGACCAGCAGTAGCTGTAGCAGGGCGCGGGTAAAGCGATGCTGCCCTCTGCAGTGAGGGCTGAAGAAGCTCAGTGCCACTAACATCTCCCAGCAAAGCCATGGAGGGAGCAGCCGAGCCTATGGCGGGGAAGGTAAGCACAGGCACACCTCACACCCCAGTGGTTGCTCCATTTCAGAATGCGGCTAGCTCTGCCTGGCCACAGATTAGATCTGGCTAGACTATACCACACCTTTCTAAGATGCCCTTCAGTATAGAACACAAACTTCCTCCGTGTAAAGTTATTGTGTGACAGTGTCTTCCAAGATGAAGCATTCCTTCTTGTAGGGACACAACTTAAGCAGAAAGGTTAAAAACTCAAAATAGATCCAGGAAGTCCCTGAAACTGACCGGAGTCACTAGGCCCCTCCCTGCCAGAGTAAGCAATAAACGCTGAGAGTCCCTCTCAGACAAGACAAGCTTCAAAGAAGACTCTTAGAGCATACAGCTGCCTGGGAAGAGCAAAAGCCAGCTGAGCTGCCTGGAAGAGGTTCAGACTAGAGTCACTTGGAGTAGATACCCTCCAACATGCTCAGCTGCTTAGTCTACCCAGTAGGCTCTAGGTTTCCCAGTTTTGTTAACTGTCACCATGCTAGGGTGGACCTTGGTAATGCAGCTGTCTTTGAGTCATTTCTGTTCCTATAAGCAACCCTTTATCCTCAGTCCTGAATAACCCAATAAAGTTCACTGGTTCAGGGCCGGAGAGATGGCTCGGCAGTTAAGGGCAGGAGCTGGTGCAGAGGCCATGGAAGGATGGTGCTTACAGGCTTGCTCAGCCCGCTTTCTTACAGAACCCAGAACCACCAGTCCAGGAATGGCACCACCCACAATGGGCTGGACTCTCCCCATCAATCACTAATTAAGAAAATGCTCTGAAGGTTTGCCTACGGTCCAGTCTTATTGAGATACTTTCTCAACTGAGGCTCCCTCCTTTTAGTTGACTTTAGTTTGTGTCAAGTTAGCATAAAAATCTCCAGGACAATTACCATCAGCTCAATGTCTGTGCTCGCCCACAGAGTGCACAAGCCACTGCAGGCAGAGGTTTTGTTTCCTGTCATGAGTGTAGCGTATACAAATCCTTAATAAACAAGTTTTAATGGGTGAGAGAACTCATAGACAGCAAGAAAATATTAAGTGACTTTACTGAGTCCAACAAGGTGCCTCTGAGGCCCAAGGCAGCACAACTCAATACCAGATCATTCCCATGAGTGCTGACTGGTTCTGAGTAAGCAATGGGTTTTTAAATCTGCTTTCTGAAAGCTATAAAGTTTTAAGTCAAGACAAGATCTTTAAGAAAAAAAATGAATGAGCAAAAGTTAGAGAATTCCACTGGACAGAAAGTGAGATTGGATACAGTACATTAGAAAGACAGAACAGTATCTCTGCAGGGTAACTCATTTCCCTGGGATACTATGAGCCATCACTTTATTAAAATAGACAAGATCAGCCTCTTATCTAGCTATGCAGTGCTACCGTGGGTGGAGGAGCTGAACACCTACCAAACCCATCTTACCATTTGCACCGGAAAGGCTGCTTGCCTGCCTTCTGAGCCGTGGAACTGCGTCTCCTTACTGCCCCATCCAACAGTGACAAACTTGCCTGAAGAAGACAAGCAAAGAGCAGACACAAGAAATCAAAGCAGACTCATTCACTCTTCATGAAGGCAGTCACTGACAACTCAGTAGTTGAGCATTAGCCGTTATGTTTAAAAACTGAGTTTCCAGGAGCTGCAGAGATGGCTCAGCGGTTAAGAGCACTGACTGCTCTTCCAAAGGGCCTGGGTTCAATTCCCAGCACCCACATGGCAGCTTACAATTGTCTATAACTCCAATTTCAGGGGATCTAATACCTCCATAACAATACACATTAAATAAAGTTAAATAATTTTCTTTTAAACTGAGCTTCCCAATGATATACAGCAATGATTTTAGGGGAAGTGAAATACCCTTATCTTGGGAAGCATGACCAATTCAGAAGTCTGACAAAATGATTAGTCAGAAAGAACCATGAAGCATTCATAAAACATGTCCATGAATCACAGAGTAAATAATTCAAGACAATAGCTAGGAATGAAATTCTGACTTTTAGCATTAAACCAACCAAGTTTTGTGTTGTTGGGGAGAGGCTATAGGTTATCAAATATAGGTTCCCATGTAGGTTTATCTGAGACTCCTCTGTCAGTGCCCAAAATCAGAACACAGGCTTCCTACACTCTGCCTGGCTTCCCTAAACCACGCTGTTTCTCTCACACAAAATATAGAGGCAGAGGACCAGAACTAGCACAGACTATCTGCTCCTAGAGGCAAGATGTGGCACTCATCCATAAAAAGCAACAGAAAGATGGTCCTGACACCACCAGGCAGATCCAGGACCATTTCCTTCCCTTGGCCACTAACTGTGAAGCAGTCTACTTACAATTCTACACGTTACAATTCCACACAGTTTGCTGGCATGGGCATGTCTAAGGGCAACAGGACCTCAAAGCACAGCCTGCTGCACACGGAGAGCAGCAACCGCCCTCACTCACACCCTTAAACTCCTCGGCCAGGCTCCCAAGAGGCCGAGCATCAGAGTGGGCTCACAGCAGGGATCTACAAACTGGAGTCCACCTATGTTCACAAAGAAACTTAAGGTACAAACTCAGATTCTCCTTCCTTTGATTTACTATCCGTCTGATACACACACACACACACACACACACACACACACACACACACACACGCACACACACACACATGCACACACACACACACACGAACTGGGCATTTAAGTATGACTCTAAGTGTCCTTCACTCTGGAAGCCCCAGCCTCCATCAGGACCCTATACTCTTCTAGCACTATCTATATCTGCTCCTAAGCAAGGTCACACGATTGGAGGGATTCTCTGCAATCAGAGCAATCCCGCATGTGTGTATTTCACATGGCAAACCTTCACAGGCATGAAAAACATCCGTGGCAGACTTCATCATCTGATACCTACACACCAGCAGGTCTCCATTCTCCTTCTGTTACTGACATCTTTATTCTCATCACACAGCTTCTAGGTGGAGTCACAGTAAACTCTTTTCGTCTATCACATATCCAAAGCCTATTTATTTCAAGTTTTATGCTGGTATTTCTCATGTTGTATGTGGTTAAGAGGAAAACCACAAATGTACATTCCTGAGTTTCTGAACTAACTAAAAACACAGTCAAATGTTTAATGAGCACCAGTTTCTTCCTGAGTCCATTTTCCCTTCCAGATCCATGCACACCTATAGGAACCTACAACCTCATCCCCACCCTGTCTATAATCTTTCTATACACGCACACACGCATATAGACATGGCTCTAAGGCATAGGAACCCCACCAAAACAGTTTAATCCCACACTCCTGTCCTAGCACCCAGCATGCTGCCTTATGCCCAGGTCCCTGAAAAAGCCATGGAACAACTGGTTTGGCCTAGTCGCCCACTCTTAACCCTTGTCTATCAAGTATCAATCATTATGGCTACCCTAATACATCAAATCATTTCTGAATCTGTGCCATCTGCCCTAAGGAAAAACTTAATCCCATTGCTGGCATCCACAGCACTCCTAGGTTTGTTTCTGAAGATTTAGTCAGGCAGCTCTAATACTTGTTTTGTTTTGGATTCTGGTTTTTCAAGATGGGGTTTTTCTGTGTAGCTCTGGCTGTCCTAGAACCTGATCTGTAGTGCACACTGTCTGGAACTCACAGAGATCAGCATGCCTCTGTCTCCTGGATGATGGGATTAAAGGTGTGCATCACCACCTCCCGACTCTGAAGTTATTACTTAAAGGGACAAAAATAGTAGTGTCCAAATGTTATCCTGGACTTGGCGAAGTGAGAGGTATGAAGTCAGACCTTAGTAACAGTTCAGATACTGTTCCTCACAGTCCCTCTTCAATCGGGTCAGCTGCACAGGGACTTCCAGTCGCCAGAGCTCCTTATAGTCCTAAGTGTCTCCTCTCTTTCTCTCCCATCAAAACACTCACAGCCCCAGTGGCCAAATGATCGTAGCGAGAAGAAAATCTGGCAGCCACAGAAGAGATGAAGATTGTGACCTCGCTGGCAGGAAGAAAACACTGCCTCTAGCACACGACCCCTTTCTTGTGGTCTACTAAACTGTACTCCAAACGTGCTCTCCTTATTCTAGCGTGAACATTCTAGAACTTAGTAATCCTAGTCTAAGTCTTTCCTGGGGTTTAAATGTTATCCAGGAGATCTTAAGCACAGAATTCTGAGAAAGCCACCTCTCAGACCTGAAGAGAGATTAGAGACACGTCTGTTAAGACCTGGGATGGCTGAAGTTCACTGGGCTTATGACGAGTGTTAAGTATAAGAAAATGAGTAAAGCTGAAGAATGCAGGTCCTAGAATGTTTCAGAGCAATGCTTACCTTCACCAAAATCATCTTGGTGTATCGGCTTCTCTGTGATGACTTCAAAGTCTCTTGTCATCATAATCAGTGTCTCTTGACCTTAGGGAAACAAATCAAACCCTTGTTTGTTCATGTGACAAATAGTCAACCTAGTGTGTCTACAGCACAGGAAGACACACAGAAGAGACAGAAGACAATAAAAGGAGCTACAGTTAGAACAGAAGGCATGCATACAAAATGCTTTGAAACTTAGCACTGACTGCATAAACCCCACAAGAGTCCTCAGAGCCCTCCTCTACTACTTCAAAACTCCCTAATTTAACAAGACACTTCTACAGACATTAAAAAAAACCTCACCTGGAATAAAGAAACTCAAGGGAAAAGAAAACCAGGCAACAAAAGAGCTGTGAAGAAGCTGTTTACCAGACAGGCACGAGGGCTCAACTTGCCACCAGGCCTGACATCCTGAACCTGATCCCTGAGCCCACATGGTGAACTCACCCCTGCAAGTTGTCCTGTGACCTCCACATCCACACCCCATTGCCTGGGGTGACTAGAGGTGTCTAATTAGTAACACTGGACACCAGTGAAAGGCTTACCTGTGGCAAGAAGCACCAGTTCTTGATCGGGACTCCAGCTCATGACAGAGATACCACTGGCCACGCTCCCAACACATTCCAGCTGCATCAGAGAATACCAAAATGGGATGTTTAGCACACCACTGTCTCAATAAAGACTTACTATGGACTCCATCAAAGTAATCAAAATGCAAACACCCAAAGTTGGAAAGATCCACCAGACATACCTTCAAGAAGAGTTGTTGAGATGCTAGACACAAAATTAAGCATAGTGCGTAGGAGGGACATGAAGGTCGTGAATGAGATAAAACAAAGACTCTATGAAATGCTTAGTTACCATCAAAGTCCTTGGGAACAAAGGGAATCTAAGAGCAAGCAGAGCCTTTGGAGTCTAGGAAAGGTCTGTCAAGGTCTCCAAGCACGACAATACGACCAGGAGAGAGAACCATCAGGGGAACAACCAGCGTGGAGGCCTCAAGGCTCAAACTCAACAGAAACTAGAGCCCAAATACACAAACAGAGGCATGAAGGTCAAAGGTAAAGGGAATTTAGGAACAGAACGGTATTATCAGGCAGTGGGGAGCACAGTCTTTGATGGGTGACAGTGAAAGGCCACAAAGGAGAATGATCTCAACTCAGACGAACAGGCTGAAGAAACCTCAGAAATCAGAAGTCTCTCAAACACGTGGCTAACTTTTGAATGTAAGAAATACCAGTTAACTTATGCGTGAGAGATTCTGACAGTTCTCACCATGAATGAAAAGTACAGTTTACTAATGCATTTAAGGAAGTGGTCAGGAGCGAAGGCGCCACACACTATCAGGGTTCAAACTCCACCTGCTAGCTTTGTGACCCTGACACAGCTACCTAAGCTCTCTAAGCCTTAAGCACTTCCAAGCACGAGAAACAACAAGCTATCTAAGAAGACCACACTGAAGAGTAAACAAAAATTTGCATTAGCAGGGCAGTGGTGCACACCTTTAATCCCTGCCCTTGGAAGGCAGAGACAAACGATCTCTGTGAGTTTATGGCCAGCCTGGTCTACAAAGGTCCAGGACAGCTACAGCCATGACAGGGAGAAACCCTGTCTCGAAAAGCCAAAATAAATAAATTGCACTAAAGAACCTAGAAAAACGGGCTTGGCATAATTTAGTAATTCCAAAGTATAATTTTTATCCCACTATTAGTAATTCTGTAACTCCTGTCACATAAAGTCACAGTGCTAAAGAGATCACAATTGCTGAGCCATGGTGATACATACCTTCAACCCCGGCACTCAGGAGGCAGAGGTAGGAAGGTTGCTTTGAGTTCAAGGCCAGGCTGGTCTACAGAGTAAGTTCCAGTACAGCCAAGGCTACACAGTGAAACTCTTCCTTGCAAAAACAACAAAATAAACAAACAAATAAATAAAAGAGAGAGATAGAGATCAAATCAATGTCATATTTGTTATTGTTCTTGTTCCTGAAATAATGGCAATCCACCTGCCTCAGCTTTCTAAGTGCTGGACTGTAGACATGAGACAGCATGTCCAGCTTCAAAGAAGTATTTTTAAAAGGTCAGGAAACTATACTACGAAGGTAAAAATTGGAGCTCAGCAAGTAATCGTGCTTGCGGCACAGGGACGCCAAGCTGAGCTCAGCCACAGAGCACGCACGGTGCAGGAAAGAAGTGACTCGCACAAGCTTGTGCTCTGCCCTCACACCTACCGTGCACTCCACCTGCACACTCACGTCACACACACAATAGTAACAGTCTGCTTTTTAAGAGAAGGGGCTGGAAAGAAGGCTTAGAGGTTAAGAGTACTGTCTGCTTTTCCAGAGGACCCAGACTCAATTCCCAGCATGCACACAGCAGCTCATAATCACCTATAACGTCAGTTCCAAGGGATCTGATGCCTTCTGGCCTCCACAGGCACCAGACACATGCAAGGAAAACACTCACATAAACTTTAAAAAAGTAAGAAAAACAGGCCACACTTAAGAGGCAGAGGAAGGTGATCTCCCTGAGTTTGAGGCTAGTCAGGAATACACAGTGACACCCTGTCACAGAGAAAGAAGAAAAAGGGGGGGTGGGAATGAAGGGGGGAAAAAAGGAAATCCAGAAAATCAGTCTTATTCTAGAGTAAAGAAGCGATAGGTTGCAACCTATCTCCCCTCAAGTCGTAAAATGCTTCCAGTATAATTATATACAATATAATTAGTAGACCTATACATACATATTATAGCATACAATAGTGTAAACTGTGCTGCTCATATTAAGGGACTCTAATTTACCACATTGGAATTCATAACAGAAAACTAAGTCAATTCAGGTCAGAGGTAGCACACCATAAGAACTGGAAACTTTTACTCAGTTGTTAGGTCCTAATTTGAAATGTTATATCCCAATTGTCCTGTCTGACTAATAAATGCAACAGACTAAACTAAATTTGTTTTTTTTAACTCCTGAAATACAGGTAAGGCCATTTAATTTTCAACTGTTTCAGTGCCATGGCTATAAAACAGAAGCCCTCAACACACAGCACATAGCTCAGTTGAGGCTCGTTGCCACTTCCTCCCCACTGGTCCTTAACCCACCTGGTGTGTGCTCAGATTGCAGAGTATGACATCCCCAGAGGCGGTGGCCACACACACAGACTCCTGGTCCAGCAGGCCCTGGATACCCACAATGCGGCCGCTTCCATCCTCTGGAAGAAAGCCTTCTGCCACCAAGGAAATTTCAGCCTTCACCTTTCATAGAGACACACACATTAACAAATTAGTGTTTACATTCAAGAGCCATCTGACATCCAGAAATAAATGTTTCCAACAACTCTCTTCATATGTAAGATTTATATACTTTTATGTGTGTGAGTGTTTTGTCTGAATGTATGTATGTGTACCATATGTATACCTGGTGCCGTCTGAGGCCAGAAGAGTGTGTGGGATTCCCTGGAACTGGAGTTACAGATGGTCGTAAGCTGCCAGATGGGTGCTGCGAGCCAAACTGGGGTCCTGAGTAGTCAGTATTCCTGACTGCTCAACCATCTCTCTAGCCTTAATGATTATTTTATAACATAAAAGCCTTCCAAGTATTTTCCCTAGATTAAAACTCAAACTTTCACTTCAGAAATAATACAACTCTGTTGTCTTTAACAAAAACAGCTAACATAACCTTTTTGCAAAACAAACACAAAAACAACTATGGTCTGTTTAAAAATTAAGGCTAATGACTATGCTCTTTATTCACATTCATTCGTTTTTCAATGGGGAAATCAAATCCAGGGCTTCTACCATTGGGCTACATGCCCTGCCCCCTAAATGCAGTTTCCTAAGATTTCTACAGGTCAAAGACAAGGAACCCCCCCCCAAAAAAACCACAGGAGCAGCAGCAGATAACCAAGGGAACATACTGAAATCAACTTACAATCTTCAGAAATGTCCATAGTAAGTTCCAGCACTAAGGACTGGGATTTCAGTCAGTTTGGGTCAGAGGTCTAAACATGCTTCAAAAACTACAAGTCTAGAGTAGGAAGTTACAAATCACAGCACCACAAAATCAATACAATTGAAAGTTCCACGGACAGCATTCATGTACATTCCTAACTGATCACTATTATAATGCAGGGTAAAATGTGAGGAACCCATATAAAATGTGAGGCCAAAGCTTTGCCAACTTGTCTTCCAAAATTAGCAAAAAGTTGGCTACTGTTTAAGTTATATCTGCCATCTACAAACAGCAGAGGACGACTGTGCAGGAATATGTAAATTGCTTTGGATTTAATAGGGAGAGGAAGTTTGGAAGAAAAAACGAGTACAGGGCCAAGCCAGGAGCTGGCATCTTCATCAGTGACTTACCTCTCTTTTCTCAGGATCTGCTTCAATCAGCCCACATTCTGAGCCGATGAGCACTGTCCCCCGCTCAGTTCGGAGAGAGAAGCAATGAGGTTTCCCAGGTGCTTGAATTTCTCTGAATTCCAGTGTCCGGAGCAACTTCAGATTTCTCATGATGGAGCGATTTCTGAGGGAGAGAACCCAGATTTCCCTTGATGAAACATTAATGCCGGAAAGAGAAAGGGCAACCTTAACAGTGACAAATGGCCACACGCACATCGAGCACGACTTGGGAGGTAGAGACATGGCCGTTAGAATCATGGGGGGCGGGGAGGAGCTACCTGAACACACCGGCATAGACACAACCACACTGTCACTTCCTAAAGTCTCAGCTTTTCACAGCACTAAGGCAGAGATTAAGCTACACGTTAAACCAGAAGACATAACCAAAGGATAACCGCAGCATAGGCTACTACTGTTGCCATGATCCAATCACCACTGTCCACATCCCTCTCTATGAACTTGGATTTTAATCATCAAAAGCTGTGCTGCCCTGCACAGGTCCACAGAACCCAGGAATCAAACAACAGAGGCAATAGCAAATTGAGAGGACTTACTTCTTCCCATTATCTGTCTGTAACTGTGACGACCAGTCCAGCAATGGGCCTTTACCTTTACAGGGACGCTGAGACCCAGTCACTGGTACTTTCAGAGCCAACCTTACATTGTCATCCCCGAGATAGGCACATTAATCAAGCATGCTACATCTCCAGACACAGAAATCCAGCCCCAGGCCTCATCCTGAGATTCTGAGCATCAGTCTAAAGTCTGAGACCTAGGGTTACAGGGACTTTCTACCAAGGGGTAGAGCCTGATGATGCCAACAGGGTGTTAATCCCTACCCACAGGGGATGCTTCCTTCAGCGTGCCTTCTAAATTGTTTCAGCGTTCCCTTCACTTTGTCTTCCTCAAACAGCTGTCTAAATAATTCTTCATAATAAACCCTGCTGAAACACTATGTGCCCTCTACTCTTCAGAATGGACTCCAACTGATAAACACACCAAAACAATTTGAGTTAAAAAAAAAACAAAACAAAACACTGAGCTCAGGTCTGGAGAGATAGCTCAGAGGTTAACGAGTACGGGCTGCTCTTCCAGAGGACCTGAGTTCGATTCCCAGCACCTACATAACAGCTAACAATCATCCATAACTCCAGTTATAGGAGATCCCATGGGCATTTCATATACATGGTACAAGGCAAGCCTATTAATCTCCCTAATGCACCAATCCTTTTCTTTTTGTTTGTTGGTTTGGTTTTTCGGGACAGGGTTTCTCTGTACTGTTTTTGGGACTCACTATGTAGACCAGGCTGGCTTGGAACTCACAGAGATCCTCCTGCCTCTGCCTCCCCAGTGCGCCACCAACAACCGGCAGTGCCCCAATCCTTTAACCATCAAAACCGACTTCTCTGAATTGTCACACCCATAATCCTCACTCCTTTAGCTTTTCAGAGGAGCACAGCCCAGTGCGGTCCTCAATGCTTTCAAAGTTAGGAAAAGAGTATCTTCCAAGTACTTCTAGGATCATAAGCTGTTAAAAGTCCAACTCCCCTCGCTCGATGAACTGAACTCTTCCCCATCCACATATGTGCTAAGGGTCCTACCGTCCAACACTGACCATGTCCTAATAATTTGACCACTGTTCCATTCTCTCCCATATGAACAGGGCATATAGACTGTGTGGCTAACTAAGAGGAAGATTAAATAAACCTGTATGTCTAGCTGTAACTGAACGAGTCCGAACTGAAAATCACACTCATTATCTCCTGGTGTTATCTTAAGCTGGCCCTTGTAGGCACGTGAGAAATGCAAACTGAAAGATAAGAGAACCTGCTGCTACTCTTTCACCAAAAAAATAAAACACCCAAAAAACAAAAAACCCAGCTCACCCTGGTCTGAGCCTCACTGTCACCTGCGTCACCGCAAGCTAAAGCGGCCTGCCTCCTCCTCACTCGCTTCCACACGGAGGCGCGTTCGCTGGCTGTCATCGCGGCCCTCGACACACACAACGAATCCCTTTGCACGGCACCCACGATCCGCTACGTGACTTGCATCGGAAATCGCGCCCGAAAGACAAAAAGACTACGCGATCCGATCGCTGCCACCACAGAAGCCTCGGCTTAGCCAGGCAAGCACGCCACTCCAACAGGAGAGACTCAGGCGCGAGAGCGGCAGCGAAGCCTCTCCCGCGGCGGGCTGTGACCAATCCCTGGTGGAGGTTTTCACCTCCCAGCTGCAAGAACTCCCGCCGCCGGGGGCCCGGACCGCCCGCCCCGGCAGCTGTGCCCCCGCAGCGTCCCGGGATGGCCTGCGGGAGCGGCTGTGCAGAGAAGAGAGGCGGAGCAGGCCGCCCTCGCGCTAGGACGCCCACCTCCCCCACCCCATCCCCCGGACGGGCAGGGGACCAGGCCGCGCTCCGGCGAGCGCTCACCCGAGACGCCCTCGCGGGACTACACCCTCGCCTCCTCGCGGCGATGACGACGACGTCGACGCACTGGGCCGGGGACCGGACGGCCGATGGACGCGGGAGACAGACACACGGATGCCAAAGCACGCAGGGACCGAGAGACCTGCAGGCGAGCACCCAAGCGAGGCGGCGCAGGCGCGGCGGCGTCACCCACGAGGCGCGCGGGCGTGACGTCACCGCGGGGGCGTGGCCTGCTCTCCGGAGCCTTCAGCGGGCGGTGCGGACGCCCGTGGGGTCGTGCTGTGCGCCGCCGCCGCGTGCGGTCCGTCCGTCCGTCAGCCCTCTGGGTCCCTCCCGGCTGTGTCTGTCCCGCTGCTGCTGAGCGCCGGCCCCGGAGTGCGGGAGCCTGGGGAGGGGGGCGGGGACGGGGGCGGGGCGGGCGAGCGCGCTGCGCGCCTGCGCACGGAGCTACCGCGCGGAACGTGCCTCTTTCCTGGCCTGGACCTGCTGGATGGAAGATCTCGGGTGCTCGGCTGCAGGGTTGCCGGGGCCAGAGGCGGCCGTGCCCGCCGTGCCCGCGGCGCCCTCCCTGGTGGACCGGTACTTCACTCGCTGGTACAAGGCGGGTAAGTGCGAGCGGCGGCGGCGAGCGCTGCCCTCCCGCGCGGGCGAGCTCCTGCTTAGCGGTGTGAGCCGTCCCTGCTCGTCCCCTGACCCGAGCTTCCCGGCCCCGGGAGGAATACGGGTTTGCACTGGGGGGGCGCCCCCGACTGTGTGGGCTGCTTGCAGGAGAGGACGCAAACTAAGCCTGGGGACCCCCGCGTTGGTCTTTCTGGGCTCACGCTGCTGCCTAGCGTTTGCGCGCCTCTGGGGGATCAGTCCTGGACCGAGGCGGGGAGACTGGAGAGAACTTTTAAAGAGAAGCTAAGCTAGTGTTCAGAAGCCGCTCGGATTGCCCACACTTGCAGTTTCCGAGCAGGCTTTCCCTGGTGTTCTGTGTTGTGTGCCCAGAAAAATCTCGATGCTGCCTTTGGGAATTCTTCTCTAACCTTCCTCTTGTTTTAGCCTTTTGATTTCAAGGAAACTGATGGACCGACGCACGCACCAACAGATAAAGACTGGGCCAAATTTAGGATAAGTGGCTCTCCTCAGGACTGAATTTTCCCCAAATGTGATGTTTGCATAACTTGAAGACTGCCCTTGAGGCTGGAGAGATGGCTCAGCGGTTAAGGGCACTGACTGTTCTTCCAGAGGACCTGGGTTCGATTCCCAGCATCCACATGGCAGCTTCCCACTGCCTGTAACCAGTTTCAGGGGGTACAACACCCCCACATAGACATACAGGAAAAACACCAGTGCACCTAAAATAAGAATGAATAAACAAACCATTTTTTTTAAAAAGCCCCACCAAACACCACCACAATGGAAGCAACGTGGTGCTTACAGTAGTGTCCCTCTAATAGAAACAATTGGTAGACTCATTTTAAAGTGACAGGATGGAGGAGCCAATAACCTTGCCTGCCTTAACATTGAATAAATGATTCTATCTGGATTAGGCCACTTAGGCACCCCGTAGCCTTTATTTATTTTGACTGTTGTCATCAGCATGAGTCTTAGCCTCGTAATGAACTATCTCCACGAACCAAAGAAGGTAATCGCGTGGTAATAGCAAATGCCATTTCAAGAGCCAACACCTCATTTGTCCCTCCAGATGTTAAAGGGAAACCCTGTGAGGACCACTGTGTGCTACAGCACTCCAACCGGTAAGCCAACCAGGAATTCTGGATTGTCAGCCCTTTTCTTCTGGTGGTTAGCCTGACGTAGTCTTGGACTGGATATGAGCAATTGTCTCCTACTGTGTTGAGATGGCATTATAGGACTGTGGTGGCAGGTACAGGTCTTGTTCAGTCATTTACTGCTTAGCCAACCTGTGCCAGCCATTGGAGTTCCAGACGCTGTGGAATGGCTCACTGTGGAAGCATATGTCATGTCCTGTATACACAGGCATCACTTGTGTCCCATCTACCCTAGGGTTACTGTAAGGCTTGTGGTACTGGTCCCCTTCCTGGGAAGGAAATTCAGTCCTAGGTTTTTCTGTTCCCTTAGCGCACTCCCCATGCTACACTTAGGCTCCAGTTACAGTCGAGAGAAAGAGATGATAAGTGAACTGAATGAAGTTCAGTTGGATAGTCATCTCTCAGTGAGAATACCGTTATAGGAGGGAGTCTGCAGCCATGCAGGAACAGGATTGCCTTTTTCTCCTCCCTGTAGGATATGTGTCATCACGCTGGCAGGATCTCATCCCGTTCTTCAGAGTGGCAAAACTATCCAAAGTATTTCCTATCAGATCAGTACCAACTGCAGCAGACTTCAGAACAAAGTATCTGGGAAATTTAAGCGGGTATGTACCTGTAATTCCGTAATTTTTTTTCCTATTGAGATTTTTCTATATCTGTGCTATAATGGATCCACTTAGCCATGAGCAGACTTTTTCTGGAAGTTCAATGTAATCATTTTCAGCAAAAACAATGTCCACCCCCACAAAATGAGAGGGGGAGAGAGGGAGGAGGAGAAGAAGAAGAAAGGTATTAGGGAGTATAATGTCTAACAGATTCTGTGTCTTCGTTCTTACCTCCAGAGAAATAAGATGGAATGTGGGCTTTTACCTGGTATCCCAGCTCTTGGGTAGCTGAGGTAGCACAATTGGAAGGACGAGGCCATATAGAGTTAGTTATATAGTAAGTACTAGCTGGATGCGGCTACATAACGAAACTCCCAAAACCAAGAAGGAATCTTGGCTCCAGCAAACTATGTTCACTATAGGAAAAGTTGGTAAAAAGAGGGCATGAAGCACTCTCATTTGCCTGATTATAGATAGTTGTCACGCCCCCGACTCACCCACCTTCCAGAGCATCTAAAACATTGCATGTGCTATGGGGTAGTATGTTAAAATATGGCACAAATGGTTAAAAGGCATACTTCAGTTAGCTTCGTGGGGTTTAATAGAACATACTGTTTTTGCTTTCATTCATTCATGTGTGTGTGTGTGCATGCGTGCGTGCGTGCGTGCAGGAGCCTGCAGAGGTAGGGAGAGCTTGTCGGATCCCCTAGAACTGAAGTAAAGGCAGTTGTGAGCTACCATGTGGGCACTGGGAACTGAACCCGGGTCCTCTCCAAGGGCAGGAAATAGTTTTTTGTATTTTAGTTACAAAAGTACTCCTTCTTAAAAAAGTCTTGGAGAGTGGTTGACCCTGTAAAGAAGTTCCTTTTCTGATATAAAAGATAGGGATCTTGTGGATATTTTTAGTTTTTGTTTTGAGACAGGGTCTCAACTCTATAACCCTGTCTAACCTGTATACCACCACACCCCGTGGAAGATAGGGCTCTTAACGAAACTATGTAGGATATTGCTGCCATATGTTGTATTGAATTTTACCCTGTAGGTTGATTAGCAGTGGATTATCCTATAGGTTGAAATCTTTATAACTGGCCATATATAGATTTCTCATTGGCAATAAAAAAATGCATCATTAGCCTGTAACTAAATGACCCAGTAAAAGATGGTACCTAGCAGATAGTAGGTTGTTATGTTGAAGTACATGAGTAGTTTTATGCACTTAAATCATTTTTCTGTAAAACACCAGTTCCAAGACTGGGTCCTGTTTTAATAGTGAGGGGTGTGTCAGAGAAATGTTAACACACAGTCAGTTTGCTGCTTCTATCTCGTTACCAGGGGGCACAGTTTTTAACAGAGCTCGCACCTCTGTGTAAAATTCACTGCTCCGATGGAGAAGAGTACACCATATCTAGGTAAGCAGGGTTATAGCTGCGGAAACACAGATGCCCATGTTCACTAGAGTAAACAATTGCTGGCCATTTTTTTTCTAAAAATCCTTTTTTTTTAAATAGCTGTATTAGAGGCCGGTTGATGGAAGTGAATGAAAATATTCTTCATCGGCCGTCTCTTCTTCAAGAAAAGGTAAAGGAGAGTGGGGAAGGCATAGCGCTGCCCACAGGCCTTTAGAGGTCATTTGACAATACTAAGTGTTCTGTTCCCCCTCACCCCCAGCCCTCCACTGAAGGCTACATTGCAGTTGTGTTACCCAAATTTGAAGAAAGTAAAAGCATAACAGAAGGGTTACTGACGCAGCAACAGTATGAAGAGGTCGTAGTAAAAAGAAATAATGCTGCAGCCACGCCTTGAGCCCTGAGTGGAGACAGCATAGGATCCTCGCCCTGCCTGGCCTCAGCCACCGCGGCACTGAAGAAAGCAAGTGTATCTGAAGTATTCCTCGCACATGGCCACAGGAGAAGCCTAACTCTTCATCTAACCTACTTCCCCTCCTTTGTCCTGACACCACAAGCCTTGGTCCCCATCTGTAGTCCAGCTCTCAGATCTGCCTTGCCTGGGTACCCGCTTTGGGTGTTGGGAAGTGCAGTCGTGGGTGTTTGCTTGCATATGTACATCAGAAAACAACTTTGGATGTGCTTTTTACCTTTTGCTAGACAGGCTCCCGTTGCCTTAGAACTTTGCCAAGAACCTCCAGGGAGGCACCCATCACCTCTGCCTCCCATCTTGCAAGGCTAGTATTACAAGTGCACACTCCATAGCCAGCTTTTATGTGGGCCAGAAACCCCAAACTCAGGTCTTCGCGTGTTCAAGGTGTACTACTTTTCAATTCCTGTGATAAAATACCATAGCCAAAAGCAATCCAACAGGAGTTTACGTGGGTTTGTGGTTCTAGAGTACTAGATGTCCACCCCAGTAGGAAGGAATGGTACAAGAGTGGGGCGCGGAGAGAGCGCAGAAAGCAGAGAGAGAATGGCAGTCGGGTAAGGCTGCTCACTGCCCCTGGTGACGTCATTTCCCCAGCGAGACGTCTTGTCCTGAAGGTTCCACAAACCGGGGACCAGCTGTTCCAACACGTAAGTCTGTGGGGGTTTTTAAAAATCTACAACATTCTTCTCATGATCCCTAAAGGACCATAGCATGTCACGCAAAATGCAGTTAATCCAGTATCAAAAATCCCCATAGCCATTCCTGTTATGAGGTCCAAAGTCTCCTCTAAGACTAAATGCAGTCTCCTGTGTCCCCCGGTAAATCAAAAGATCGGTTTCATGCTTCCCACATAGAGTGGCACGGAATGCGCGCTCCCACCCCAAAAGGAAGGATGGGCATAGTGAGGAAATATTGAACCAAAGCAAACCCTGCACTGCGTGTCCACTGTCGGGGTTTGGCTTCAAAGGGATTAGTTGACGGCCCCTCCAGCATTGCTGCCTGCACCGTAGGTATTTGTTGCATGGCTCTGCTGTGCACAGCTCTCCTTGGCAAGATGTTTCACATGCTCATTTTCATTGGCCAAGGTTGCACTACCTTAAATATCTAATGCCAGAAAAAGTAGTCCATTACTTTGATTCAACTTCATGTCAGTTCTCAGGACTTGGGTAAAAAGTAACCAGATTCTTTGTCAAAGGATCACTTAAATGGAAATTGCCTCTAGCCACTTTGCTAATAGAGACATTGTTTCTCTCCAAAACCTAGGAGACAGGCCTCTACTGTTTACATTTCCTGCAACACTCTAGTCTTCTAGGTTCAAAACAGAAAATCTTGTTTCACGATGCTCATTATTCAACCATTTTTCTGGCCTAAACTTCCAGTCTTCTATGTTCTTCCAAAAAACAACAGGGTCATGCCGGGCAGTGGTGGTGCACGCCTTTAATCCCAGCACTCGGGAGGCAGAGGCAGGCGGATCTCTGTGAGTTCGAGACCAGCCTGGTCTACATAGTGAGTTCCAGGACAGGCTCCAAAGCCACAGAGAAACCCTGTTTGGGGGGAAAAACGTGGTCACATTTTTTTTTTCTCACAACAACCTGACTTCTTGGTACCAAGGTCTATATTAGTTACCTATCTGTTGCTGTGCTAAAACACCATGACCAAACCAACTAAAGAGGTTTTCTTGGCTTGTAGTTCCAGGGGGCTAGATGTCCATGGCAGCAGACCCCAAGACCACCACGTACTGGAGGCACACAGTGATGTGGGAATGGATCAAGGTTATAAACTCTAACCCTGCCCTGGTGACACACCTCATCCAGCAAGTCACTACACCCTAAAGCTTGTAACATTCCCTACAGTGCCACCAGCTAGGGACCAAGTGCTCTGAATCCATGGGACCATGGGGAACATTTCTCCTTCAATCTACAACAAGAGGCAAGCTTTACTGACTAAAACCATCTCCCTAGCCCCAACTCTCTTCCTCTCATTTCTCTAAGAAATGGCAAACAAAACAAGGAATATTTTTCTGATTAAAAACAAAGCTCTTGAGAAACATTTTGAACAGCTTTGCATTCCTATAACCTGGGAGTAAGTAAGTAGCGCCTGTTACCACAGTTCCTACTTGAATGCTGTGGCACACTTACTGCTTCTGCCTCAAAAAATTTTAATGTGTTTTCCCATATATATGCATGTGCATTATATTCATGCAATGCCTGTAGATGCCAAAAGAAGACATCAGAGTTCTTGGAAGCACAGATGGTTGTGAGCCACGCTAGGAAGTGAACCCAGGCACCATGGAGAGCAGCCGGTGCTCTTAATCTCTAAGCCATCTCTCCAGCCCCTTGCCTTAATTATTAATAATTTAATACTTTGTTAAAAGTAACTGTCCATCCCTCCCGAATCTGCTTCAAAGCGCGATGAGAAAGCCCAGCCTTGTTTCTTCTGCTGTGGCTTCTTCCCTCTAGGTTGCTGGAGAAACGGGAACGTGAGTCTGCCTTCTACTCGACATGGAAACGCTTTGAAAGTGTGCGAGGGCTCTACTAGCAAACGGGAGACTTGAGCTGCAGTGTGGAGCTGGCTCCCGCCTGCGCGTGGAGGTGACTCCATCTTGCACATTTTATGGACAGCTAGTTTGTAGTAGTGAAGGTATGCGAGTCTGTCATCTGGAGGCACAGATCTTAGTGCAGAGCAAGGGTTTTACATTGTCTAATTAGAAAAATCAGCTCTGAAGTTCTGGTTTGAAATTAGACGTTTACACTGAATTTAAAACAAAAAGACTTTAAATCATGAAGATTTGTTAAGAGCTGCAACAAGTAGTAACTGTTAGTCATTTCCCTGGTTTGGGGGGGGGGTTTGTTTTGTTTTGTTTTGTTGGTTTTTCAAGACAGGATTTCTCTGTATTGCTTTGGAGCCTGTCCTGGAACTTACTCTTGAACTCACAGAGATCTGCCTGCCTCTGTCTCCCGAGTGCTGGGATTAAAGGTGTGTACCACCAACGCCCAGCTCATTTCCCTGTTTTTAAAAATTTCATGTGCAACCAAGCAGAGTTTATTGAGAAGAAAGAAGTAGCTCCCTGTAACCTGGAGGTGATTAAAACCAAATTTCCGTTAAATAAAGTAGTTTTATACAGATGAAAGCCTGATTTGTGAGTATTGTCCTCGTCTGTTGGTATAATTTTACACACACACACACGCACGCACGCACGGCACCTGAGTCTACTTTCAGGTGTGTAAAGGTACTCTGTAAATATTTTTAAGGAAATTTTCGAAAATATATTTTTAGTTCACAAGACAAACTTCTCATAACCTGATGGGATGAACACTAAGCACACAGCAACAGAGCCTCGCATAAGAGTGGCAGAAAAATTCTCAGAGATTCATGCTGTGAGAGTTCATATCTGTTCCACAAATTGTATCTTTCTTCGTTAGTTTTATTACAAGTTAAAAGGATACTTTGTTTCACTGCTAGACACACAAAATGGTAAGGTTGCAAGGACACTTTTTATTACTGATCAGTATGCTCTCAACCCAGTGGATCAAAATTAAATCAGTTGGTATGAATTCAGTTACTGAACATAATTTTTATTGAAGTGTACATTACCATGTTTAATACTAATTGATAGTCCCTATTTTGTTGACCAAGATAATGACATTGTTATCACATACCTGGTGGCCCTTAACAGTTTTATTGAGGGGTCTGCTTTATTGCTAACATATTTCCACTGAGATCCAGTAGAGTTAGCATCCTGCTCCTCAGTTTAAAAAGAAATCAGAATTTTCACTCGAAGGAGTTGGTAACAATCCTGACTATTTCACAGGAGATGGTTCCATTCAATCATGCCCCATACCAGCCGTCTGCAAGATTACTCCACTGCTTTAGAAGGATGCTTGTGTAGACATCGGTAATGGTAGCTGAAGAGACGAGAGTTCTGTGCAGCACATGCTGAGCCTGTGAGAGCTCCTTCCCTCAGCCCTTCTTCTAATACTCTGAACTACACCAGATCAGCGGAACGATCTCCTGAGCAACCCTGGCCTTGCTTTACAACACAGTTTATAAATAAACAGGTTACCAGCAGAGTCCATTCCCCAGCCCAAGAAGAGGGTGAAGCCCTAAGTCTGAGACTGAGCATTCCAGGGCCAGAAACATAAAACACAGCACAGGTATCTGGGATCTTAAGGTTCTAATGTTCTGTCTTCTGCCCCTGCCAGTCAGCACTTCTCAGTACTGAGAAGGACAGTTCAAAACTGTGTTCTTAAACCAGCAAGAAACACTTAGCATTCCATCCACTATCCAGGACTACGTGGTCAGCTATGCATACTACAGCTAGAGTAAAAGCCGTTTCCTCTTCTGAGCTTGCTCCAGGGTTCTCTGGAGTGATTTCTGTTATTTTCCTCTCTGAAGTATGAAGGGACAGATGTGGCCTAATGACCTTACTAAGTGAGGTGGTTGTTAGAAGCAACAGTGCTAGCAAGGCTAGGGCCAAGCATTTGAGGGACCCTTAGCCTGCTTCTACAAGACTTGAAGAGTCCGCAGGTCTAAAACTCTGCATTCAACCAGGCCACTGTATATTTTCTGCTGAAATTAGTGTTGTAGATAATCGGCTTAAATAAAACAGTTCAGGATGCCAAAGGGAGTGTGCTTTGACCGCGTCTTTGGGATTCAGCTGTCACTAAGACAGTCGGGATATTTGGTGTGTGCGGAGGGACACCCTGAAGAGTCTCTACTTTAAACTCGCACTGCCACAGCAATGACTGATGTTAAGTTCTCTAGTCTGAAGGAAAAAAAGAGATTTCAGAAAACGGATGCATTTCTCAAAAAACAAAGGACCAATTGCTTTTTTAAAAGGTCGGCTGTGCCAAATGGTTTTCCGGAGATGAAATGCAGGCTGCTCAAGTTTTAGCATCCGTGGCGTCTTTATTCGTCACTGAGACCCACCTGTTATTTTCCACCTGGGGGAAAGGGTGAGACAGTTAGCTTCAGCTGTGCCCCGAAAACAAACTGCAAGTACTAGTGCACACACTCGTTTCCATTAAGTCAGTAAGAGAAAGCTGAATACAGAAAAGCCATCTCACCTTCTTCAGGAACTTATAGCAAAGTGACAGGAGCTGGACCACGAGAGCCATCATGGATCTTATCTTTGTAATACACTTGTCAACCTATGGTGACGAAGCATGTGTCATTCCAAAAACAGTACTGCAAAAATGTTATCATCTATTTGGTTTCACAGTGGTGAAGTTTCTCGGCCATGGAAGCCTAAGAGATCTTGAAAGGTGTAGATCAGGGCACTTTGAGGCGCCAGAACACAGGCAGCACTGACTACCTGGTCTCACGTCTGTTTCAGGGAGCCCCAGGAAAGAGGGTGGAACAGCAGCTGTTCTATTTACGCTTTGAGGAACATCTCAGAACGCTCGGCACACAGACAGTGCACCCTACTTGGCAATCCTTAACACCCCACCCCAACTCCTGAGGTGTATTACAGGAGCCTCTACTCCAAGGCAGAGACAACCAGCGAAGGACTCAGAGGTAGCTGCTCAGTGCTGGTCTGCAGCCTCAAATCTAATTTGGGTGACTCCTCTCCCAGGTCAGTCACAGAGCAGCTGCTTTTAGGCAAGCATGGAACAGACTTAGCCCAAAGGGCTGGAGCTAACCTGATAAGGAGATGGTCGTGAAATATTCTCAACTGTTTCCCCATATATCCCACCCTCTGCTTTACCTTTAGGAACACTTTGTTCTGCAAAGATGTCTTAGTTATTGTCTGAAGCTGGTGGCATAGAGGAATTAGCTTGTTTATTTCCAGGAGAAGCATAAGTTTGTCATCATCTTTTAGCTGAAATGTAATTTAGGAAGTTATTGCAACCCCAACAAAACTCAATCTTTTATACTGTTTTCCACTTTTAGATGGCATCTCACATGTAGCCCTGGAAGGCCTAGTTCTCACTACGTAGACCAGGCTAGCCTCAAACACATAGAGACCCACCTCTCTTCATCTGTTGAGTGTTATGCCACACCTAGCCTAGCTCTCTCTTTTTTCCTTAGTGCTTTTTTAAATACAAAAATAAGAAATGCATCTCTTAGGATGTCAGTAACAAAATCATGAAACAGTGCTTGTTTGATAGTAATGTACAGTTTATACAAATCATGAGTATTTGCTATACTCTGTCTTTTGTGGTCCTGCAGAGAGAACCCAGGGCTTTGTGCACACTAGCCAAGTCTTCCACCAGGTTAGATCCATCCCCACAAGGAGTATTTATAACCACACAAGAATGTACACAAGATAACAGAGTAACAAAAACAGGATAACGTAACACAATGTTTTCTGAATTTGTGCCTTGCCTAGATCTTATGTACCTTCATGTGTTAGTAACATATTCCAGTGTTGGTGTGTGAAATCACTAGCCCTGGACAGGTAGGTAGACGTGCATTACCTGTTTTGAAAACGACTGTATATCTGAAGTAAGCTTTAATCCCTCTGCAGCAAAAACCTGTTAGAGAAGGAAAACGGCCATATTTGAGATCAATGTCTTCTGGATGGCTGGTAAACAAATATGCTCAATTATCTCAGAGTTGGAAAATCACCCAGACATTAAGATTAGCCCCAGAGCTCCTAACTTTTTTATTGTACCATGGGAAACACAAGAGTTTAGCTGAAATCAGAAATTTTCCCAGACCTAAGACAAAAAAATTCTCCAAGAGGCTCCTCTATACCTAGAGACATCCAATTATTCTGCAGAGTTGCACAAACCTGGGACCCACAGCCACACGATTACCTATTCCTTTCTGAAGGATTCCCGGATCATTTCATAAGATCTCCAGTTACAGAGGGGAGTCATTTTTCTTCAGGGTGTAGCCCCTGGTAACTTGTCCATGATTCAGTAAATAATCTGATACCTGTACACATGCTAGCAACCCCAATTGAATAGTGGGTTAAAAAAAATGAGAGTAGGGAGGTCATGACCAGAGAAGGAAAATCGAGTTCCTGAGGGAGGGGGAGGGGATTAGAGAAAGGAGTGCAGGGGGAGAATAAGATCAAAATGCACGTGTACATGTAGAAGATTGTCAGAAAATACAACATTATTTTTTTCAATCCTCAAATATGAGTCATGAATCCTGGGGAATGAGGTCAGGTGAGAATTCTGCTTCCACCTAACCATAACCAAATTTGCTTCCAGATACCAGCTGAGAGGACCAATCCAGACTGTTACATTTTTCAGATTTTGTCTGTTCCTTGCATTTTACAATTAAGAGAACAGGACTGTGGAGAGGAGCAAAAACCCGGGCCAGAAAGTTTGAGGAACAGTCAGGACACATAAAATGCCAAACTCGTGAGACACTTTAAAACTCCCCCTCAGGGGCTGCAGAGATGGCTGGAAAGAGCGCTCGCTACCCTCTCAGAAGACCCAAACTCAGTTCCCAGCACCGAGCCAGCCACAACACCCAACATCCTCTTCTGGCGTCTGAGGCCCCCTGCACAGTGGCATTCACACATTCACACATTCGCGCACTCACGTACAGGTGTACAGATAACAATGGTGATACATCGTCTTACAGTGCTACCATAGCAGCAAGGAATGAGGACAGATGTACCAGGCAACAGTAATAAGGCAAAGATCAGAATGATTTAGGGAGAGAAAATAGTCCTGGTAGTTAACTAGTGAAGAGTGTGGAAGGAGAAAGGGTGACCTTTGACCTCCAAGGTGAGGTAGCCCCCTTTGCGCTCTCCCAGCCCTGGAAGGGGAAGCAGCAGCTTTCTCTTAGCGTGGGTTGGCACCGAATGACTCAGTTCCCCACCTCCCTCATCATTCCACGTTCCCAAGCTCTGCAGCATCTGTCTCACTGAGTGTCACGAAAGCCAAGAGCTCCCCAAACTCTGTCCAACCTGACACTGGCCTTTGCTTTCAGGTGATGCCCGGTTTCCTGCTCCTCAGCTCTCAGTGGACCCCCAGCACCACACTTGAAAGCGAGAGGAGCAGGGCCCTGCAGAGATGCCCACAGCACTTCCCTGTGGCGCAGCCTCGCTCTGCATGGCCTCCTGCATCTCCAGGTGCATCTGGGATCATGGCCATCGCACTGGCTCCGCCTCTGAAATGATCTCACCCCACACACCCTTCCAACCCTGCAACAACGCGCCCACTCAACGGGCGCCTTAGAGCAGGCTTTCCAACCACCCCACCACCTTTCTCTTCTCCTTCACGAGACTATCCCTCTGAGTACTTGGGAAAACAAAACATACCTCTAGGAAATGAATTAAGTCATGCGACGTTTTCAGGGGCCCCTCTCCTCTAAAACAGAAGGAGTTATTAGAAGACAGATATTACCTGGACTTTGGTTTATGTAACATTTACCTTTTAGAGCATTCTGTGTTCTAGCAGAACTCAAATTTTTAAAGAATAGCATGAACACACTGATAATATTGTGACTTTTTTCTTAAAACAACTTCTTTACTTACTAAGTTAAAATTATATGTTAATTTCAGAATACAAAGAAAACAGAAAGTGGCCAGTTAATTAGTGCTCTTTGTCCTTTTCATTCTGCTTCATGAATAAACACATGATGTCTGAGGCCGCAGACACGTCCTGCTCTCTGACGAAGGCTGAGAGGGGCAGCCGGAGCCGTGACACGGGCCATATGAAAGTCATAAAGAACCGACAATTCTTGCAAGGAGTACCTCGGTTAGCTTGGTAAATGGGAGAGCCAGTGAGGAAACGTGCAGACACCGCCGTAAAGTAACGACGTGTGCTTTGACCACGAGTAGATAATTACATTACAGACCTGCCTAAGTGCGCACGTCATTATACATTCGTGTACTACAGGAATTCTGTTTTCCTGAACCTTACTATTTCTGTCCCCAAACTGTGTATCCCAGCCCACAGAGCTTCAGCTAGCCTCTGACCCTCACACGTCTCAATCTTTGGTTCACGCCCATAGTGTCAGTACTCAGCAGCCTGAGACAGGAACGTTACTGCAGGTTCCAGCCCAGCGTGAGCTGTGGTGTGAGACCTTGTCTCAAAACTACCTGAATAAGCAAACATGTAAACAAATCGGGATGTTGCTGCCTCACCTGGTAAATAAATACAGAGAGTAGGCCATCCTGGACAGGCTCCGTCCGTGGCGAGCGATCTCATTCTCTTGATCACCCCACTTCTCAAGTTCACAGTCAGCATCGGAGGTGAGCAGAGCCAGCTTCAGCCCCAGCTTTGCTATCCTGGCCTGCTCCTGCACACACACTCAGTCACAGTCTGTCCTCGGGAGGGAGGTTTCACAGCTGTCGTTACTGATGTAAGACAACAAAGAGCTTACCTCGGAATCCAGCTTGTCGGGCTTTGACGATTTCAGGTTTGAGTTATTCTTCTGCGACGATAAAAAGATTAGAAAATCTTAGCACTTAATCGTGAGGAAATACGGCAGTAAGAGAAAACATACGAACTTGTGATGGACCCTACCTTTCCGTGCCCACCAGGGAGTTAAACTGCAGCTAACCACACTTGTAAACATTCTACCAGGTAACTTCTGCTAGAGCATGTCATGTGTTTGGAACTCAGGGCCAGGGGCACGAAGGCCAGGGGCACGAAGGCCAGGGGCACGAAGGCCAGGGGCACGAAGGCCAGGGCACGAAGGCCAGGGCACGTCCAGCGGTCTGTTTTCTGTGTTGCTAGCCACCCTCCTCTTTCACAAGGTCTTTAGGGACCTCAAGACAACACCTAAAATATTCTCAGAATCCACTGATAATGTCCCCCAAGCTCACTGCTTCCTCTGTTACAATAAGAATATTTTAACAGCGGGACAGTGGTGGCGCACGCCTTTAATCCCAGCACTCGGGAGGCAGAGGCAGGCAGATCTCTCTGAGTTCGGGGCTAGCCTGGTCTACAGAGTGAGTTCCAGGACAGCCTCCAAAACAATACAGAGAAACCCTGTCTCAAAAAAAAAAAAAAATGTGGCATGGGACCAGCATAATAACTCAGGGAACAGAAGTCCTTGCTGCCTTGGCCTGACAACCTGACTTTGGTCCCCAGGACTCACATAGTGGAAGGAGAGACCCAAATTCTTCCCACTGTCTTCTGGCCTGCACATACCTACGATGGCGTCACCTCACCCCAGAAAAATAAATAAATGTAAAAAGAATGAACGAATTAAAATTGTGATCCAGCCTCCCACCTAGTGGACACTATGTGGAAATACAGTTTGTTATATAAAGTTGAAGATTTCCAAATATACATAGCACAAGACTCTGTGTTTGCTCTCTTAAAAACGAGCTGAATTTTTCTAAAGTTAGCTGTGCTACAATCGACTAAGGAAATGGTTCATATTTTGAAATGTTGTCACTAAAGATGGGGAGTTGGGACACTAAGTTCAATAAAATCTTCCTTCCATTCAACCCAGTAGGTTCTGAGATGTCTTTTGGGTCTTTTCCCACAGCACTGGGGATGGAGTCCGGGAGTGTCCGTGAGAGGAAAGTGCTTTCTCAGTGAGCTACAGCATGGACTCTCTCTTTTCCTGTCTTGTTGTTGTGGCTTTTGTCTTTTGTCTGTCTTAGAGCCCAGACTGACTTCAATCTGTCTCTCAGGCTTCCCAGGGTTAGGGCTTCAGATGTGCACTCCATGCCCAGCAGTGTGATGTCTTTTCTTACCCTAAATATGCTATAGAAGCCCCAACTTACAGCACTTAAAGCAATCAACGTATCTTCATTTGATTAAATTCAGTAGATACAACTATTGTCATCTATTGTAGTCAAGGTGAATTAAAATAGGAAAATTAGATAAAACGTATAGTTCCAAACTGTGTTGAGGATAAATTAAGGCACAGAAAACTATTTCTCCATCCCCCCCAAAAAAATCACAAGGTGATTTAGCAGTTTTATATTTGGATTTCTTCTACCTCTATTCAGTTTACAAAAGTATTTCAGCACCAACCCATGATGGTGTATGTGCGTGCATGTGTGCATTCGTGGGTGTGGTGTGTGTATGTGTATGTGTATGTGTATGTGTGTGCGTGGTGTGCATGCATGTGTGTGGTATGTGTATATGTGTAAGTGCATGTGTGTGTGTGTGTGTGTGTGTGTGTGTGTGTGTGCGCGCGCGCACGTGTGTGAGCATGCCCACAGTGTCCAGAAAAGGGTGTCTGATAACTGTCAGGCTTTAGCTCCAGGGGTTGTGAGCCACCATACACGGGAATGGGAACCACACTGTGAGAGTAGTTTGCACTCCTGTCTCTGCAGCCCCGTCCTTCTGAAAATCTGAGGATTGGGCTTGTCATCTGTTCTCTTTCCCTGCATCAGTCATTCCCACTGCAATTACTATTCCCACAGACATAAAAGTTTTATTGTGAGCTGGGTGGTGGTGGCACACACCTTTAATCCCAGGACTCAGAAGGCAGAGACAGGCAGATCTCTGTGGGTTCGAGGCCAGCCTGGTCTACAGAGCGAGTTCCAGGACAGCCTCCAAAGCTACACAGAGAAACCCTATCTCATAACCAAAAATATAATAAACTATGTCTCAAAAAAAACAAAAAAAAGTTTTATTGTCTATCTTGTTACTGTCCAAACTGTCTTCTGATACTCACTACTGTTACTATTAATAATTAATAAATTCTCTCTCCTCTCTTCATTTTCTTTTTATAGAAGATTAAATATGTAGTATCTAATATAGCAGCTGTTAGCCACAATGTGACCAGTCTGAATTAGGATGTGTTTTATGTGTATAACACACCCCAGATTTTGGAGATTTAAGACAACAAAGAAGCTAAAAAGTTCCCCGCAGTTCCATGTTAAGTAATAAAATGATGATGTTTGGGACATACTGAATAAAATAACCTCACAAATGTCTTTTTTTTTTTGCACAGCTACCTAAATGTTTAATTGGGTATGTGTTTGAAAGACCATCCTGTCTTTTTCACTGGTGCAATGAATCACCCGATTTACTTTTTGGTTATCAAATTTGGGCCAGCCAGTTCTAGGCAACAGAAATACACGGCAAACAGGATATTTTTCAGCTCCTCAGCCGTGTGGTTCATCAATCAGCACTTTCCCACCCAGGGCCTGACGTAACACCTGGCCAACAGGAACTGATCAAGGAGTATTTGATGACCGGTCCATCTGTCTGTCTGAGCTCCTAGTACTTTGAACACCGGAGTCCTCCTTTCTTTGTGACTGGGGAAATGGCTCTAACTTCACGCTAGGGCAGTCTCAAGCCCTTCACTTTCTCGTCTGCCGCCAGGGTTTCCTCTCTCTGCGGCAACTTCTGCAGTCTGCTTTGATTTGTTTCTTGTTCCTCCACTTAGAAGTCTGGCTATCTATCGGGGCACTTGATTGCTTTAAAGGATGAGTACTCATGGTAAGTGGCATTTTTGCATAGTCTCTGTTTTCTAAATATCCTGAGTTATAATCACAATTATAAATTCCATAATGTTATTTACAAATGACTCACTGAGTTCACCAAAATGTTATATGAATAACATGATGTTAAGGGCTATCAGCCAAAAGACAGAAGTTTGAAGTCCTAAAAGGAGTCTTGGGACCACTACACAGCTAATTGATTACTCTATTTTCTTTCTCATGGGCATGTTTTTGCCTATGTAGAAAGCATATAAACATTATTTTTTGGAAACAAGGTTTCACTATGGCCCAGGAACTCAGTATTTTGACCAGGCTGTCCTTTAACTCACACTAACCTACCTGAAGGCCTCTGCCTCTCTGATTCTGGGATTAAAGGCATGTGCTAGCAAGTCTGGCAATGAATGTCTTCATATACAGAAAATAATCCCAACATTACTTTGCAAACTCAACCAAAGATATGAAAAGAAAGATACTTTCCACTTCACAGATTCCATTATTCTCTCAACTCCCAAACCCACATGTAGGCTGCTGCCCAGAGTAGTAACTGAATAGTGGGCATTCACTGTCCTGACTTTCCCCTGCTGCTGAGGGAGGGGTGTAGCAACAGGCAAAGAGAGTACAATCTGAATTCTGAAAATGGTTTTTGGAGTGTGCAGAGCTCCTATACTTACCATGGGCCTTGGAAGTGAAAGATGGTCGTACTTCTCTCCTACAAATAACATACAACACTTAAGAACTTTTTCTACTAATACAGTTTTATTTTTCACATTTGGGTTTTAAAATAGCAAATAAATACATTACACTAGTTGTGATAATCCAGACTGTCGATTATACGTGATTCAGACAGGACAGCATGAAGAGTGTCGACACCTGCACCTCTAAGACACCAGCAGCCCACAGCCCACACCAAGTAAAGGGAGAAGGAAAAGCAGAGTGAGCATTGGGATCGACTTCTGCTTCCTGCCAGCCTCAGAGTGATCCTAACGCAGCACTCCCAAAACCAGAATCCTCGCATCAGGACCGGTGTCTGTGCTTCCTCCCTCCACACGCCAAATCACACCATCTCCAAGTAACCACACTGTGTGGTCACTCAGGAGTGGCACAGCCCCAGGGACAAGACAGGGGGGCGACGTAAGGAACAGGTGTGGAGCCGTGAAATGACGTGCAATGTCCGCGTCAGCCCTGCCCTGCCTGCCATGTTTCTGCTTGCAGATCAGTTTCCAGTGGATGCTTTGCTCTTGGTTTTGTTTGTTTGTTTATTTTCGAGACAGAGTTCTTCTGTGTAGCCCTGGCTGTCCTGGAACTCTTTCTGTAGACCAGGCTGGCCTAGAACTCATAGAGATCCGCCTGCCTCCCCTCCCAAGTGCTGGGATTAGAGGTGTGCGCCACTCAGCTCAGCAATCAGTTCCTATGGGTAAGGATGGCAATAGTCACACCATGCATTCACTTACTCTCAACTACTCTAACTCCTGGTTTTAAATTGGAAACCTGAGGGGAAAGGACTTCCCCAAGGTCCCAAAACAGTAAAAACAAAACAAAAAAGCAAGCAAAAAGAAAAGCCTAAAACACGTTGCAAGTGTGAAGCTCAGAAGCCAGGTGCTGCATGAAGGACTCCATTCTGACCGGACTGTCACCCTCAGCTATCTCTTCTAGGAAGACAGCCTCCCCTCAGCTGCCAAGCAGGACACTCAGCAGGGGCTCGGGTTCCTGACCCTCCATTACTTTTGCGCTGCAGCCTGAGAACGCCCCAGCCTTCTGAAATGGCTTTGGAAGAGAGTTCAGAGCAGAATTGAGAGCCTTTGTCATAGTGTTCATTCCTTCCCAGGAGAGGACCTTAGAGCCCAGGTAGCGTTTAACTGCCTGAGAAAACGTCACCCCTGGCGTCACTCAGATGCAGTAAGGATCTCACCTGCTGTGTCTTTAAACGTCTACCTCACCATTAATAAACCCCAGAAACACTCTGTCTCCTGGGTTACCAAGAAGATTGAATGCGGTAAATAAATGCACATCTGACACTTTCCAAAGGCCCCGGCACAGTGAATTCTCCACAGACAGCAGTTGCTGCTGTTTGCACGGCTGTTTTCGTTCAGCTGCCCCGGCTCGGTGACCCTGTTTCCATTTTACATACACAGAGGTTCGTGTTTCTGGAGTCACTCGGCTTTAGGATCCTTTTACCATTCCAATTTCCACTGGAAATTTGGCCCAGAATTAAGAAGGGAAAAGGTCATTTGTAGTAGGAAATGTTTTTACTCTTCTGGCTTTTTGAGGGGCTCACCACCCAACGCCCACAATAAATATACACATGGAGGCTTATTGATACTTATGAATGCCCAGCCTTAACTTGTGTTGCTTAGCCAACTTTTCTTAACTTGATTGACCTGTGTACCTTTTCCCTTTGGGCTTTTATCTCTCTTCTGTATGTCTTTCTTTCCTTCTTTCTCCTTGTCTGGTTGTCTGGCTCTCTGGCTGGGCTGGCCCCTATAGTCCTTCCCTGGCTCTTCTCTCATTCTCTCCCCCTCCCCCTCTTCCCTGTCCTCCTCTTCCTCCTCTCTCCTATCGATTCTCTCTGCCTGCCAGCCCCACCTATCCTTGCTCCCACCTCCCTAATGGCTGTTCAGCTCTTTATTAGACAGGCACAGCTTCACAGAGATAAACAAATACAGCATAAACAAAAGTCACACACCTTACAATAATATTCTACCACAATTACTCTAAATTCTTTTTAGGCAAATAAAAGGGAAAAGACAGACCACAGTGCTGGTCAAGCACCATGGCCTAGAAACTGAGTAACCAGACACACAGGGAGGGGCAGCCCAGGCCCTCAGCTAAGGGATCAGCACACAGAGAGAGACACAGATGCCCTCTGCTCTCAGCTGATGGCGAGCTTGCTGGCCCAAGGACACGGAAGGAGAACAAGTGATACAGAATGCCCTAATTTCAGGTCACTCAACATTCATCCTATGTGACCATTTTTAGTATAAAACACTTAAATGCTCTTCTCTAATAAAAAATACTTAATTTGATGTTATTCCAAATAGCACGTGATTTTTAAGAAGCCATGCTTTAACACTAATGGAAACCACTCATAGGGAAAATCTATACATACAGACAGACATATAAACATAAGACACAGGATGACGGGCAGTGAACAAAACTACCATGTGACACTAACATACAGGGTAATAATGATGCCGTCCCATACACTGTGCAATGCTGCTTTACATGTGTAAAAATACCAGTGAACTTACCCGCCACGGGCAATGTCCCAAGTCTATGTAGTCATCAAGGAAAGAGATTCCACCCAAGCAACAGGAAGGCATTTCAAAAGTTACATAATTACATTCATTTCATTAGGAATTCAGGAGAATTAAATTAGAGAAGTTCTGTATTGTCCAGAACTTTTACACTAAAACTCAAAAAAAAAGTAAAAGAAACAGAAACCTGGCCTGATTTCAGTAGGAAAACTAGAATGCCAATTTAGAAATGTACCACACTGTAGTCTAATAAATTTTATTAATTAGGTAATATAAAAGAACAAAACAATACTTTTGTCATTATTTCTTACTATAAAAATAACCCAGCTGGGCTATATAACAAGGTAACTTTGTATCCAAAGCCTAACACTGAAGACAAAACACTAATACAGCTGTATTAAAGTAACACATAAATGAGCTGAAGTGTCTCAACAAGTGGACAGTTTCTCACCTCGTCTTCCGTGGAACACGTCTCTGATCTCTCCTAGCAGGGTTGCCATGTCACTAATCTGAGATTCCCAAGCCTCACAAAACACGTCCAGGTTTTCCTTAGCGATTTTGCTGGATGGATGCAGCGTCAATGTCTCGGCAGCAGAAATGATCTAAGGGGACACGGGAAACAGGGTGCAATCTCTAAGATCTCAGCCCTTGGAATCAGGCTGGACTTGATCAAGCCTTTACTTACCTTTGACATGGCTGATTCTGGTTATCAGTCATGAATAGCAAAATGTGTTATTCTGCATTTGTAGGGAGAGATCTTACGTACCCCTAGCGTTAAAGGATAATTTACACCTATTCAGAGTTAGTTTTCAATTATTTAGAGTTGGGATTGGAAGGAGGTGTTCAGACTTGGGCATCTCTTTCAGATAAGTTTACGTTTAGATGGAATAGATATGCTTAGGATGGGATATAGGCAGATTATTTTATCTTCTGGTGATTTATAATTTGTTTATCGAAATTCGTCATACTGTGTAAAGTCTTATTTCTATTCATGATGTTTGATGCATAAATATGCTTATTGTCTTCTATGTATATATGCTTTATATTGACACAATTTAGTTTTGTTTTAAGTCTAATTCTTTTCTAATTGTAGGGAGAGAACTGATATACCCATAGTGCCCACTTGGGCGTGGTCACAGGTACGTAGAATGTAGGGGAAGGATAAAAGAGCTGGGGGAAGGAGACGCACTCTTTGGGTTCTGGTTGAGTCTTGGAGAGCAGCGAGCAGACCTTTGGTTCTGGCCTATCTTGGTTTTCCATGTAAGTAACTTCTCCCCCAATAAAATGTCATGACAACCTACCCTGTGTCACTCCATGTTCCACAATATGCATCCAGTAGAATCTTGTTCTAAAACTAACACTGAGTTTTTATATTTTTATTTATTATTTCATGTGTGTGCACACATGGTGGTGTGTGTGTGGAGATCAGAGAGCCGCATGCAGGGTTGGTTCAGTCTTTGCACTGTGTGGGTCCTGGGATCATCAGGCTGGTTAGCAGATGCCTTTACTACTGAGCCATCTGGTTGGCCCTGATTTGTATGTTTTTTTGTTTTTTGTTTTTTTTTTTTTTTTTTACAATTAATTTCCTTAAGCTGAAATGTATTCTTGTGGTTTGTTACATACTGATATCTGTTATGGGATACTATTTTAAGATGTGTTATTATCATTTATGCTGTGGAATATTTGTTTAATGATGCAAAAATGTACTGCATTTTTTTATGTTGCATTTGTTTAACTCTGTGAAACTGTGATTCTTTGCCAGCCTGAAACACCTGATTGGTCTAATAAAGAGCTGAATGGCCAATCGCTAAGCAGGAGAGAGGGATAGTTGGAGCTGCCTCTAGGGAAGGGGGGAGGGGAAGGATCGAGAGAAGGAAAGAACACCAGGGGCCAGTCACCCAGTCACAGTCACCCAGTCACCCAGTCACAGTCACCCAGTCACC